TCCAGAACCCAGCACCTCTCCCATCCTCAAACTCTTAGATCCGCTCATATCTTTTTCATGATGCTCCCGCATCTTGGGTGTGTGGAACATAGACATCCCTTTGTGGTCCACGAACTCACAACCACTTACTCTCAGCACTGATGAGTTTGAGTCTGGGTTAACAGTCCCTGCAGAAAGGGGTGTCTCTGACTGATGAGCATGGTTATGAACACAAATATTTAGCAGGCAGTTTGATGACATGTTCATTTAGCAAAATGACCATAGTATATTAGCAAAATGACCATAGTATATTCCCTCCTAGGGACTTTCCCTTAGCCATGGCCGTTTGACCAGCTTTACAATAGTATGCATGGATTCACGTCTGTGGAACAGGCCTTAGATTCAAGCAAGAAGCAATTGATTATCCCTTCATATCAGTCATGCTACTAATCGTTATAGTGAGCACATCTTGCCTATCAGGGTTCAGCTGTGTAGGACCATCAGTGGTACCCCTGTCCCATTGCATAACATCTTCTAAGCTAATTACAAAATGAAATTATTTTAAAAGCAGTTTGGATTGGAGGTACTTTGAATGGGTAGGCTGTGCTGCTCCTAGAAGACATGAATTATTAAATGAAAACCCCAGTGCTAGCAATGGGTAGTCCTATGAGTTCATGGTCAGAGAGGTTCTGGAGGTTTTCCAGAAAGCACAGGTTATTTATTGTATTTGTCCTTGGTTGCTAGTCACAACTAAATAGTAACATTCTATTGTTGAAGATATGCTTGGTTGGGTTGCAGGACACAGAGAAACCAGTCTTGATTGACTAGAAAGCATACTCTCTGCTGTCTGGCTTTTATGTGATCCATTTATGTGAAACTTCCAAGTTACACAGAATTGTGGAGGTAGATATGAGTTGATTAGTTCTCTGGGTTCGGGGAGGAGTGACTGCAGAGGGACATGGAAAAATTTCTTGGTATTATTGACCCTGTGGGTCTTATTCTATCAGGAAAATCGGACAGAGACATAGTGTCTCAGAACAAGGCTTGGGGAAACTGTTACCCTGAAATAAGATAGGGAGCTATATAGCATCTGCAGGGACCTGCACGTCTTGATCCCATCACACAGAGCTTGAGGTAGGTTCCCCACAGGCTCTCCTGAGTCAAGGTTCTTTGTTTGTTTGTTTTTGTTGCTTTTTTTGTGGCATAGGGCAAGCGTCACCATGTATCCTTGGCTGGCCTGCCTGTGTAGAAGAGGCTGTTTGGTTGAACTAACAGAGGTACACTTGCTTCTGCCTCCCAAGTGCTGGGATTCCTATGCTAGTATGTACGGCCACTCCCGTCCTTCCCGTGATTGCCTTTTCCAACAGTGTCTTTTGACCATGTTAAAGCTGTGCCTGGGCATGTGGTTTTTACTATTTGCATAAGGCAAATATTATTCCATGTCTATTTTATGCTTGAATGTGCCCTTACTATCTGAGAAATCTTTGTTTTAGGGCAAGCTAAGTTAGTTAGTTTTAGGGAATCAAATAAAGGTTATAAAATTGTTCTTAATACATTAATTATACATAGTACTATTGTAGATAGGACGTTTTTGTAGATGTATGTAATTTTAAAATTTCTATTTTGAGACAAGGGCTCAGCATGTAGCCCTGGCTGCCCTGGAACTTGCTGTGTCTGCCGCTGCCTCTCAGTACTGGGATTGAAGGCATGTGTCACCATGCTCAGCAGTGGATTTTGGGCACATTCACTCCTCCATTATCCTCTCTTTTCCCCTCCCACTGACCCTATTTTTTCCCAACTAGTTCCCTTTCCACTTTTGTGTCTTTTTTTTTTTTTTTTTTAAATGACCCAATGAATTTAAATTTTCTTAGAGGAGCATGGGCAACTGACCAGTGGCTACACAATTGATGTTTCTCCCTGTCTCCCAGCAACCATTAACTGCCTTTAGATTTAGTGAGGAATGGAGTCTATTGTGTCCTTCCTCTTCCTTGACAGAATGTATTAGGCCAAATCTCCAACAGGTGTTGTGCAAGTTCGTGTTCTTGAGTGTGGTGGCGAGTTAGTGGCCAGAGTCCAGTGTTCTACAACACTGTATCCCATTCTCTGGCTGCTTCCTCCTTCGTGATGTTTCCTGAGACCGGGAGGGGGAGATGTTCCATTTATTACGGCTAAGCATTCAGAGGCTTCATTTTCTCAGTACTCTGACCAGTCAGGAGTTTTTACAATAACCGTTGCTCACTGTGAGAAAGCTTCTCTGCTAAAGCCAACATGAGCACTAACCTACTGATAAGACACATTTAGAAGGCATTTTGATGGGCACACTGTTTAACTAAAGAGCACCATAGCCTTCCCACTTGTGCCCGTGACCTTCCTGGCCACAGGCTTTTGACCACATTCGCAGCACTATTCACTTTTGTGGTGGACCTGAGAGGCGTGTGGAGAGCGATTGGTGTCCTGTAACAGCCTTGCCACTGTTGCGCCAGTGGGCACAGCCTGCCCTACAGGTCGGTATTGTATCAAGGAGGGTTCAGTGCTGGGTAAGGCATTGCTGCTTTCTGTCTGACACAGTGCAAGCAGCCAACAAGGAGCAAGCTTTCAGCTGAGTTCTATCTTGATTTCTCTCTGTCCTGTCATCAAAGCTTGCTGAGTCTTCAGTAGAAATAAGGTCTTACGATTTCACTCATTCGCGTGGATGGCCAGTAGCAGTGGCAATAGCCTGTATTGTTTTGGGGGTTGAGGGCTTTTGCTGACAAACAACTTATAGGGAGGTAGTCCACCCCCAGCAGTGGGATTTTCATTTAAGTTTAATTTATCCTAATGTTCCTTGTACTTGGTTAGTATTTGTTTAATGATTTTTTTCCTTAGATTTTGGTTTACTGTGTTCTATTTCCCTGTGTATTTGTTAACCTCATAGTCTTGAAAATTGATGTGATTTTTTTTTTTTTTTTTGCCCCTGCTTCATCATCTGGCACTTGTGGACCTTGTCCAGAAAGCTATACTAGCTGTCACATTGAGGTGATGGCAGCATTGTAAAATGCAGTTGTAGTAATAACTGAACAACCATGATTTTATTATAACTCACTAGTGGGTGAGTTTTATGGTATGTAAGTTATTTTTCAGTTGAAACTACAGCCCATGAATTTAAAACAGGGACCTTGGTACTAAAGGAGTTTGGGACCCTGCCTGGTGACAAGCTAGTGAGTGAGTGGGTGCATGCACTTTTGCTACAGTAGAATAATTAAGTGCAGACTGGTACATGTGCAGTCAGTGGTGGGATTAGAGGCATTTTGTAGCCTCTAACTTGGAGATTTGATCAATTAAATTTTACTCACATTTTTTTTTTTAATTGATCAAATCTCCAAGTTAGTCAAACCCCAATAGTCTGGATTTTGAATATTAAAGAGAGAAATAAAAGGCTACAAGGGCTACTGGTGGTTTATTTGAAAGAACTGGGATAGAACTGTGGTAGATTTCTTTCCTGGCATGCAGTGAAGCCAGATTTAATCCCAGCATTGGGGGGAAAAAAATCAATGTATGTGTAGTTGATAATTATTTGATATTTTCTTAAAGTCATTGAAGGATATTTTCCTCACTTAATGTTAGGGATTCAAAACTGAGGTTTAGTATGTTAGGCAAATACTGAGCTGTTTGCATCTCTGGCCTCAAGCCAATTCTCAAGAAATACATCTCGGAGAGTTGTGTGACAAAGGGCAATGTTATATGTAATTCAATCTGTATAATTTTAGAAAAAAGTTTTATTTGCATATGTATCCAGAGAGTAGCATTCTTTACACAAGCAGAGGATTAAGCAAGAAGGGCTTGGTAATGAATATATAAGTGCTTCTGGTATTAACTTAGTAACTTTAAGTTCAGAATTAGTTTCTGTTTTGGTTTTTCGAGATAGGGTTTCCTGGGTAGCCCTGGTTGTCCTGGAACTCAATATGTAGACCAGGTTGCCCTGGAGCTCTGAGATCCTCCTGCCCCTCCACCACCCAGCTCAAAAATAATTAATTTCAAATAGTTAGAAAACAGTCTCTCAGAAAAGTGGGTTTTTGTTCGTTTGTTTTTTGTTTTTTTTTGTTTTCTTTCAAGACAGGGTTTCACTCTGTAGCTTTGGAAGCAGTCCTGGAACTCACTCTAGACAAGACTGGCCTTGAACTCACAGAGATCTGTCTGTCTGCCTCCTGAGTGCTGTGATCAAAGGAGTGTGCCATCACCACCTAGCCAGAAAAAATGTGTTTTAAAGAGTTTAAAAGTTTTTTTTTGTTCATTTCCTTTTTGTTCTATTGATTGTGTGAATATGATTATGGTAGTGGCTGTTGATTTTGTCTTGTTATGCCCAAGTCGCAAAGACCACCAAGGAGACAGACTCACCAAACTGCAAAAGCAAGGTTTATTGCTCTATCCGACAGTGGTAGGGACCTCATCTAGTTCGTGACACAGCAGTCACCAGAGGAGGTGCCTTTCTAGTCTCCTGCTGGGGTATTTAAAGGCAAAAATCCACATGGTTACATCAGCCAGTAGGGAGAGGTATGGATCAGTTCTCCATTGGTTGGCATTTGGAAGAGGTTAGGGGATTTTTTTTTTTTTTTCCAGAGTCATGTTTTTGGCATGAAATACTTGTCAGCACTTTTGATTGGTTGGGAATATTGTGTGGTTTCTGTGGTTTTTGTCTGTTTCTCTGTAGGTGGCCTGCTGCACACAATCTCCAGGAACTAAGCATCCTGGAGACAAGGGGAAAGGTTTGGTTCCTATGTGTCTGTTTTTGGCCCTTCAGTGTGTTCATTTTTTGTTATGTGCTTGTCTAGAATGTTTTTCATTGTGAAGTTTTCTCACTTGGTTGTAGAGTCCTTTCTTTTCCTATATTATAACCTCCATTGTCAGCTTTTCTGGGGAATCGGAGACGAAGAGACAGACAGACAGACAGACAGACAGGCGGTATTTATGTTCATGCTTGAGTTTGTCGTTCTCAATGTGATTGAGACTAAATACTTAAAACACTACACTGTAGCTGTGCTCACTGAAGACTTCTGTTTTTCAGAACCTCTACAATGACAGATAGCTTGGATGAATTTATTGAAGAGCAGAAGGCGAAACTGGCCAGAGACAAAGCTGAATTGGAAAGTGACCCGCCTTACATGGAGATGAAGGCAAGCCTAGGCATTGTCCCCCAACATATTTCATTAAATTGGATGTGGTGTGCACGCCTTTAATCCCAGCATTTGGGAGGCAGAGGCAGGTGGATTGCTGTGAGTTCAAGACCAGCCTGATCTATACAGCAAGAATTCCAGACCAGTCAGAGCTGCATAGTGAGACCCTGTCACACAAACAGACAAACAAACAAACGAACGCCCTTAGTACACCCTTGTTCTGATTCGGAGAGCCTGTTTTTGGTGGGATTTTATATCTCACATACTCTTCTTTTGTTGAACTCTTAATACTTGATTATGTGTTTTACCAAGATGAGTAATTGCCAGAAAGACCAGAGGTTAAGCAGAACAGATAAAAGCAAGTTCTCAGATTTTTTTTGGTGAAAAGAGTATTTAATGATTAAAAAATGTTTTTAAATATGTATTAGTACATTTATTTTGTTCATTTATTTTGTACTATGTAATGAGTCTTTCTGTCCCACCAGCCAGCTCCCAAATAATGACACAGAGACGACTTCTTGAATTAACTCATTTATGTTAATCTACATTCTATCACATGGCGTTCCTCTCTTCCATCTTGGACCTCCTAATTCCTCTCTGTCTCCTCTTCTTCCTTATTCTCCCTGGAAATTCTCCTATACCTACTGCCTGGCTATTGGCCATTCAGCTTTTTATTATTATACCAATCACAGCAATATATATCTTCACACATTGTACAAATATCCCAGGACAGTACTATTTGCTTTTTAGAACAAGCCTGTTAACAGTTGTTTCTGAAAAGCAATTTCTGGAAAGTTTTCTGAAGTTGCTTTTTATTTTTACATGAGTGAGTTGTTGATTTAGCAGATACTGAGATTATGCTAGGAGCCATCCTGAGCTCTGGGAACTCTGTACTGATGCAGTCAGGTACCATCCCTCACAGACTCAGTGTGTGGTGACAAGACACTGTCTGTACTGAATGTCCATATAGAATGGCTTGCCCAAGTCATTTCTGGGTTACCTGTTTCCCAGTGTCTCATTTGGCTTAGCATCTGTCCCACACAAAAGTAACCAAATTGAGATGATAGTCATGATATTCTTACCATACATTTATTCACATACGTTAACATATAAATGGTAAGTGTGGATATGGTATAGCCCTAAAAGATCATATTTCAATGTTGTAGTTGAGATAAGTATGTCTGAATTATAATTTTCAGGTAGTAAACTGAGGCATTGGGAAGTTAACGACAGATCCTGGTGTTGGTAGACACTAGGTACTCCTTTAAGCACGGTCCATGTCTGTCTTCCTTCGAGACATCTTCCTTTGAGACGGTCTGCTGTGTGTAGTATTTCATCTAGTCACAACATCTTAAGTAGGGGCGTTTTGTTTAGTTTTAGAGATCAAGGAAATGAGACTAAAAGCAGTGAAGTCGTTTGTTCAGGTAGACACAGGGATGGATTCAGGCTGGTGCCCTCACCCCGTGTCAGGGCGTGCTGGTAGTTCGGTCCTGAGGGTGAGTTTGTATGTGGGAGTGTTAGTTTACAGCTTTACTAAATGATCCTTATGTACTAGTTCACAAGTTACTGCTTGTTGAGGCCTTGAAGGCTCTCCCTCAGCATTTCTGGGTCTTTTAATCTTGCTCTGTCTTTTGTCTTCATAGACCCATAGGCCCAGAGAGAAAGAGAGAGACACACAGAGACACACACACACAGAATGCTAAGTATGTTCACGTGGGCGTATCCACGTGTGCACGTGGGTTTGAGTGTGTTGAGTGTGTGGAAGGAAACCTAATGTCCACATTGGGTGTCTTCCTCGATGCTGACACTTTCTTTTCTGAGCTGGGACCCTCTCACTCAGCCTGGACTTTATGGGGTTTGCTATGCTGCTTGGCTGATGAATGTGCAGATCTACGTCTCTGATCCCCGAGAGCTTGGCTCCCAGACACATGCTGCTGGGCCTGGCTTTTCCATGGCGTTGGGAATGCAAACTCTGGTCCTCAAACTTGCAGGGAGCGTACTTTACTGACTGAGCTTTCTCCTCATCCCCTCTCTACATATCCAGTGGTCTAACTGTTAGGTTTCCTGGTCTCCCCCAGCAGCGGAAGCTTTCAATTTTGTTTTTACTTCTATGTTTCTAGTGCCGGGCACAGAGCCTGGTATTTCATGGAGACTTATTTCTAAGAAAATTGAGTTAGGTATCACAACAGGCGTTACAGTATGTAAGTAATTTCAGTTCATTTCTCAAACTTGCTTCAATCTCTGTGTTGTGTATTTTTTTCCTAAGGTATTTAGTATGTTGAATAAGTTTTGAGATGAATTTTACATTTTTTGTCATTCCCCTTGGATTTGTCAATATCATGTCTTTTTGTTTTTGTTTTTTTTCCCCCAGGGTAAAGTACCAGAGAAACTCTCTGAAAACAGTAAAATATTAATCTCTATGGCTAAGGAGAACATACCACCGAACAGCCAGCAGCCCATGGGGTCCTTAGGTACGGTACTGTGTGCATGGAGATGATTTTAACAGGGCATTGTGAAAGAGGTTTGTTTCCTCAGGAAAAGAAGATTTCTTTGCAACTTTAGTTTGCAATCTTACATATGGCAATACAGACTGCATATGAAATGTAATTTGGAGAACTTTGCACCATGTCATTGACACTGTCTGATTGTGGTTGATGGAAATAATATTAGAAAATGTGACATACTAAAAATTAGTAACAAAATTTTGAAAAGTTTTGAGTCTGTTTTTATGTGTGTACATGAGAGAGCCTGTTTTTGTTGATTAAAAATGGTAGACTTGCTTTGTTTAAAATTCACAGGGCCTGGCAAGATGGCTCTGCTGGTAAAGATGCTTGCCACCAAGCCTGAGGACCTGTGTTTCATCCCCAGGACCACATGGTGCTGTGTATATACATTTACAAATAAATAATTTTAACAGGAAAGAATGAAGGAAGTCTAAGGTATATGAAAAGTTACTGAGGACCATTTTCTGTGTGGCTGTGTGTGTGCTTGTATACATGTACTGGTGGGACCAGGGGCCATCTTGGGTGTAGTTCTCAGGAGAGGGCCACTTTGAGACAGGTTCACTCACTGGGCACTGAGCTTGCTGGCTGTGCTCCAGAGGTTGGGTTCTACTTGTTTCTTCTTGGATTTCAAGCATGTGCCACACCCAGTTTTCTACATAGCTGCTAGGGATTAAACTGGGGCCCCCATTCGTATGTGGCAAGCTCCTTACCTGTTAAGATCCCCACATCCAGATTGGAGCTGTAAAGTTAATACTACAGCCATACTTTTTTTTTTTTTTCGAGACAGGGTTCCTCTGTATAGTTTTGGAGGTTGTCCTGGAACTCGCTCTGTAGACCAGGCTCGAAATCACAGAGATCTTCCTTCCTCTGCCTCCTGAGTGCTGGGATTAAAGGCATGTGCCACGACGCCTGGCCAGCCATACATTTTTTAAAATTATGTCTTAGCATGAAGTATTTGGAAACTTAAAAAAAAACCCGAAATATTAGTTTGCTGATACTTTTAATGTTAAAACAGAATATTGTTATAATATGTATCTTGTGTGATTCATTGATGGTGATTGAAACGTTCACAGAGAGTGAGTGAGATACAATGATTCATTTGATTCAGTCATTGCTTCCACTGGGTTAATTCATGAGCACAGGTGTATTGTTACTGCTGTGCTTTTTTAGAGATGCTAGCTAAGAGACACAGTAGTTAGAGGGCTTTTTATTTCTTTATTAGAAGGACAACTCAAATGATTGCCCTAATATCAGTATCAGAAATATAGATAACTCAAATTATTAATTAATATGCAGCTGTAAGGAAATGAGCTATTATATTTTAGTAAATTAATGTCTAAACTCACTAGTTTCTTTAACTGTTAAGTTGGATGATACTGAGATCTGGAGAGACGGCTCAGTGGTTGAGGGCACTGGCTGCTCTTGCAGACTGCTCCGTTCAGTCCCCAGCTCCTGCATAGTGGCTTGTAACTGCCTGCCCATAAGTCCTGATTCAGAGGGAAGGAAGTACATGCTCTATGGGAATTTGTTTCAAACAGTTTATTGTGAGTCCTTTCTTAGGAGGTGAATCCATTTAAAAATGATTGTATGCTTTAGGTTTAAATATTACTATTTTATCCCACAACTATTTACAGGCGCCTAATACTTCTTGATTGTTAGTCATGAAGCATAATGTTAACTCCCAGTGTCACTGGTGCTCATCTGTAGTGACATCACTTTGAATGACACTGATAACTTTTCTTGCCACTAGGATCATCAGGGGCAACAGCTAAGTAAGTCTGACTTTGTTTCTTAGCTCAAGTTTAAGTGGCACTGTTAGTACTTTATGGAAATGAGTAGAATGCCTAAATTGTTGTATTCAGTTAATTTTACTTTATCATTGTGTGTGTGGTGTGTGTGTGTGCGTGCGTGTGTGCGTGTGTGTGTGTTTGCGCGCGCGTGTGCCTTCGAGTGTGAATGTGGGAGCAGGTATGACAGGCTGTGGAGGGCAGTTCTTATCTTCTGTGGGTTCCAGTTCAGGCTTTCACCAGACCCTTTTGTTTTTATGATTATTTATGTACTAGGTGACAAAAATAAGAGTTAGATGGTATTTTATGTTGACTAAACCTAAAGTTTATAATATTTTTTTCTTCTTTTTTTTTTTTTTTTTTGAGACAAGGTTGCATTGTGTAGCTTTTTCTGGCTTTGAACCTGGTATAAAGACCAGGCTGGCATCAAACTTAAGAGATAACAGCCTCTGCCTCTGGAATGCTGAAATTAAAGGGGTACACCACCATATTCCAAGCTCATAGTAGATTTACTAATAATAGAGGAAGCATTTGCCATGACTGCTTACTAAGCCAGTGTTACAAATAGTATTTGGATCAGTAGTGGAAACCACATTCGTTTCCTTTTGTAGCACCGGGGATGGGACCCAGGGCTTTGTGCCTGGTGGGCCGCACCCTGTAGCACTGAGTTACACCCCTATGCCTCTTCACTTTCTGAGTGCCCATCTGGGCTCAGTCAGGCTCAGTCTAGTTCAGAAAGCCTTAAACTTACAGTCCCGTGTGTTTCTGGTTTGGCGTGTCTGGGTTTGTGAAGATCAAATACTCTTAATAAAGTTGAACTTAATAGGGTCAGTAATTTATAAACGAACATGATTTCACATTTTCCAGTTCTCCTAGAGAGGCCTACAAACAGAATTCAAGATTGCAGTAGAGGCACTCACTCTGAGAATATGATGTCCAAGAAGCTACAGATTGTTTCCAGCCTGGGAAAGTTGGGCCAGTAGGAAGGCTCACGCCTTCAGCACTGACATTTTCTCCTTGACACCATAGAATTCTATTGTGACTTCATGTCACTAGACATGCAAGGCTGGTTGTTAGGTCCCGCTAGCCCTTCCTCTCAGTGCAGTCAGACTGCTAAAAAGCAGAAAGGAGACCCAGAGAGGGCATTGTTGCCCTCCTTTCTCATTTCTTCCTCTTGCCAGCCATTCATTCGTTGGCTTATATGTTCATTTTCACATTTTATTTTGTGATACAGGGTCTCATGTTTTTATGTAGGCCTCAAGCTCCCTATGTAGATGAGGATGACCTTGTGTTTCTAGTCTTCCTGCCTCCCATGTGTGTGCCGCCGTGCCCAGTGCGTTTGTGGGTTGATTTGGTAAACATTTCATGGGTACACGTCGTCTGCCGGGTGTTATATTGTTGAGTACAGCATGGGGTTTGTCTTCATTACTCTTGTCCTTTGGTTCCTCACGCTTACTCCGCGTTAGAGTTAGAGATAGATTGCCTGTGTGAATGAAGCCCACTTTGTATGCTGATTAAAATATAAAGTAAGTCAGCAAAGTGGCTTGGCGGGTAGACGACTTGCTTGTGCTTAGGCCTTATGACCCGAGTGTGGTCCCTGGAATCTCCAGTGTAGCAGGAGAGACACAGAATCCTGAGAGTTGCCCTCACTGCCATACATGTGCTGTGTATGGCATGTGAATACTTGCCTGTGTGTGTGCATGTGTGTGCATGCACACACACAACTTGAAAAAAATGACAAAACGAGAAACCCTCTCCGCTCACTTTCTGTATTTAAAAACATGCCATTTCTCTGGGAGCCAGGAGTTTCAGGGTGGTATAAAGTGAAGACACAGTGCTTGAGACGTCACCAGGGAATCAACTCGGCCAGATGTGTTTATCAAAAGAATGTCACAGTGTTTATAGTACAAAGTAAATTGTAGTGTTTCGTAAAACAGTAGACATGAATTTATACATATGCCATCTTGGCCCTTCTGTGTTCAATGGTCTAAAACAAAAGCAGATCACACATGCATAGCACATATCCATAATTCCTTGAATTGTAAGGAATAAAAATTGGTTATTATTATGACAATTTATAAATTCATCTACTATTTCTAAAGTAGCACCTAGGTTAGTTATAAGCTTTTTCTTTAGAAGTAATAATTTTTATTTTATAATTATATATATATATATATATATACACGCACATACATACATATATACATACATACATACATACATACGTAATTAAAAACTCATTTTTGAGGTAGGATCTAATGTACCTTAGTCTGGCCTCAAAGTCTTTCAGCCAAGGATCTGAAACTTCTGGTCTTCCTGCTTCTCCCTCTCAAGTGCTGGGATTACAGATGTGTAGTATTACTCGGTGCTAAGCAATCAGCCCAGTTTTCCTGTATGCTTGGCAAATAGTCAGCCAGTTGAGCCACATCTCCAGCCTTAGAAGTGATTATTTTTATTTTCTAAAAATTTAAAAATTCTATTTGGGAGGTTAGTCTAGCCTTGCTGGAGGAAATCGGTCTCAAAACAACAACAACAATAAAAACAAATGAAGAGAAGAAAAACAAGATGCTTATTGATAATTTGTCCAAACAGGGAAAAAGGCACTTATACATCCTTGCATATACAATAACCTAAAATTATTTTAATGTAAGTACATAGAAAACCCTGAAGGAGACATAGGAAACACAGTGTTCTGGGCAGGAGAACAGGATGGCTAGGGTTCACTAGTGGGAATAACTAACCACCACATCTGTATCAGCCACCAACACATTAAAACACGACGAACCCTAACTGATTACAGTGCTTTGTTACAGAAGGAGGAGATTCATTGAAATTGCTTTGGAAAGGAATATGCTACTTACGTTTTCTTTTTTAGGAATTGATTATGGATTAAGTTTACCACTTGGAGAAGACTATGAACGCAAGAAACATAAATTAAAAGAAGAATTGAGGCAAGATTATAGACGCTATCTTTCTCAGGTAAGATGTTATGTTAATGACAGGCTTTACCTGTTTGAATTTATCCCTAAGATTACTTTTGGAAAGTGTTGATCATATGTGACACTGGCCAACTAATATAGTCAAAATTATTTCTTGGTGGATGAAACGTTGTGAGAATTTGTGCTTTGGAATAATATCCTCTTCCTGGAGCTTTGTAGTTTGGCAAGACCCTGGATTTAGTCTCCAACACAGGAGAGTGTTTTACTAGGGAAATGGTTTTAATATTAAGCAAGATTAACCACTGTAAGCAGTGCTTGCCTGTTCTCTGTAACGCTGTCTTCGTTTATTCCCCACAGTGTATTAGTTACTAATTACTTTTTTTATTTGATACGCTTATAGATTTTCAGTTAACAGTTTCGTGAACTTGTATGTTCAGTCAGGTTTCTTTTCCTTACTGTGAAAAGCATCTGAGAGAAGCAGAGTAATAGAAGAGTCTGAGGTCTAGTCTCGGGTCAGCTGACTCCAGTGCTGCCGGCCTACGGCAGGACCTTGCACCAGAGCAAAGTTCGTGTGTCCTGACGGGCAGCAAGGGTCTGGGGATGAGATGGACCCTCCCAGTGGCATGTCCCAAGTAACCAGCCCATTTCCTCCAGCAAGATTGGACTAATCAGAGTTTCCAGGACCTCCAAAGTAGTGCCACCAGCTGGAGATCAGGCCTCCAGCCAGAGCCTTTGGGCCATTTCATATTTAGATCTTCAGGGCCACCAGAGGCTTTAAGATTAAATATTTTATCTAGCAAAACCATTTTGAAAATGTCAGGTTATGTGAGAGTTAAATTATAGGCTTATTATAAGGTTTACAATGCAGTTTTCTTTGTAGGTTATAAACATATTTTAAGCAATTATGTTTCCAGTATCCACAATACTCCTGGCTTTTCCATTACTTCGTAAACACTTGTTTCAAGTTGTAATTAGAAAGAACAGACCTTTACTGAATACTCCTTATCAATGGTTTGTTTCTCTTGACTTTAGGGCATTACTCAAGCAAAAAGAAAGGTAGGGTTGCCTGCATAATTTTCTCTTTTAGTTTGTTTGTAAAAAGATAGCTTGTAATCATTTGCACTCAAGTGATTCAAATCAAGTAGAAAACCAGCTTCATTTGTGTCTGAGACTGTTGAGTGGCACCCTTTTGTATCTTTGCTTTTGCCAAGATGACAGTCCACACCTTGTAATTTTCTATTCATGCAGCCATTGCCTTGATTTCTGCTTTGCCTTTGCTTTTGTTGTTGTCTTTATAAATATCTTGGAACTGTTGCATGCTTGTTAATTTTAGCTTGTTAATTTTTGTTCCACAATTTATACCAATCACAAGTAATGGTCAATTTACTTAAAATTGTTTTGAATTATGTTTTGTCATTATTTGGATTACTTGATGTTTTTGTACTAATCAATCTGATCACATTTGTTAATTTATGTTGGAAAACAGAGCACTAGTTAGTAGTTGTACAAACTATTTAAAAATATTTTCATACATTTTTTGATCACTGAACTAATGTTTAAAAAATACAGAGGTTTATTACACTATAGATCCTATCTTCAAGGGCTTTAGGATTTAGCTGTGGACATGATAATTCATCAAGATCAGAAACTACAGCAAATTATCTTGATCAGTCGGAGGTATCATTTTACAAGGCATCACAGGATAGGAAGAATTTGGATATTCAGAAGGCAAAAATAGAGTAAAGGAAGCTTTTCAAATGGAGAATTTAGATTGAGGAAAGATTTAGACTCTAGACTTGGCATTTGAGACATTTCCCAGCTTGACGATGGATGATGGCCTTTTTGCACAGTAGTGAGGTGATGTAGGAGGCTAGGATTGTGTTGTTGAAGGCAGTCTGTGTGATGGGCTCTGGTGAAGCATTGAGTCCCTGGAATGTCCATGAAGAGCACAACTGTTGTAGAACAGTTACTTCAGCTTGTTAGAGACTCTCATTAACTTACAAATCCTGTAATGTCTTAACCGAACTTGTACTGATTATCAGTCCATTGTGGCTGATTTAAATAGTTTTCAGTGTCTTCCTCACTCATTTTTTTAAAAAAATTTGAATTCCTTATCGTGTTCTACCTTTCCGGTTGTGGCTTGACTTCCTAGGCCTGTCCTGTATGTCTATGCCACATCTCCCTTTTTTCTGACTTCATAGGTGTAAGATCAGAAAAGGATGGATGGGTGCTGGGCGTGTCTCGTAACAAGTGGTCTCAGCTTGTGATGGTTGGCTACCAAAGGTGGAGGCTACAGAAAGGTCAAAGAATGAAAGGCAGATCTTGGACGACATGAAGTATGAGTTCTTAGACACTGTGTCATGCCTTGGGTAACAGCAGGGGAGACATGGCCAGTATCAGTTAAAAAGCAGTCTGGATGCTTGAGATGCAGCTCTGTGGTACAGCTCTTGGCTTACAACAAAGAACAGCCTAGGTGGTGGCCGACAGAATCCTCTGGGTATCACTTTAACATCTTCCCACCCGGCTTGAGATGAGCGCTGAATTGGCAGTCACAGCAGTGATGGCTATGGTTACGCCAACCTGCATAGTCCTGAGTGGGCATGAAGAGGAGTCACCTTTTTCAAGGGAAGGTGGGGGTGACTAAGGAGGCGCAGACCTTCACATTACTATGAAGGAGCTGTTTCTCTAGTTATTAAGTACAGTGGTAAAATAGTGGCATTTTCTGGAAGCCTTTGCATGACACATGGAGGTGGGAGTTGAAAGCAGCAGTGGTGGGGAGGGGCACCTTAATCCCAGCACTCAGCAGGCAGAGACGGCGGATCCCTGAGAGTTCGAGGCCAGCCTGGTCTACAAAGTGCATTCCAGGACAGCCAGAGCTACAGAGAAACCCTGTTTCAAAAAAGAAAACAAATAAACAAAAAAGCAAGATATCAGTTTAACTACTGCCTGGAAGAGCTAGTAAAAAATACCACTTTTTATTTTTGTTTAGTTTTTAGAATAACGGGCCATTGGTGTTCTTACTGGGCAGATAGAACAGCTTTTAAATCAGTAAATTGATTTCATTAATTCATAGCTCTTTCTTAAACCTTATACTTTTCTATCTGGCTGTGTACCTGATGTTTTCATTGAAAGCATGTCCAAAAGGAACTTGGGATTTAGCATCTTCATTCTCATGCTGTAGACGTTTACACTCGCCATAGCCTGTTCTTTTATTTATTCAGTAACTGATTTTGATTAGAGCAGTTTATGGCTTCCTAACATACTGGTGGTTACCAAATGGATAAAAGTTATAATAGTCACTTTGTATTTTCTGAACAGATAAAATTCAAGTTCTTGTTGCCAGATGTATGTAGCACATGCCTTTAATGCCAGTAGGGCAGGGGTTTGGGTTCTATGCCAGCCTGTTCTACATAGTGAGTTAGTTCCAGGCCAGCACCAGGGCATTTTGTGAAAGGTATGTTATCCTTATTTTTTCCTTTTTATTGAAAATATCAGACATCTTCTTAAACCTGATTTGTGAGTGAGGAATGACAGCCTTCAATTGAGGATTGGGATTTGTTGTTGTTGTTTATTTATAATTACTCAAAATGATTAGGTTTATAGTGTACTTTGGCATGGTGGTAAGCAGAGTTAGGATCCAGGCAGTCCTTTGTCTTACTGGTTTCTTTTGACAAAGAAGCTTATTAGAGTCCCATACGCTAACTTTCAAGTTAGCTTTTGTAACTTTAGATTTATTGAAACTCTATTAATGGCTTTATTACTTTTTCCGTATACAATCTTCTCATACATCCATGCTTTTTAGTGTTTATGTTTTATTTTTGTGTAATGTTCCATAAATGCCTGTGTGTGAGGATATACTGTTCTTTTTCCTTTTTTGGAAAGATTTATTTATTATGGATACAGTGTTCTGTCTGTACTCCAGAAGAGGGCACCAGATCTCATTACAGATGGTTGTGAGCCATCATGTGGTTGCTGGGAATTGAACTTAGGACCTCTGGAAGTTAACCTCTCAATCATCTCTCTGGCCCTTCAATCCATTTTACTATAATGCTCTTGAAGCAGATAGGGCATTATATTACAGTTATTTTTTTGTTAACTAAATGGTTAGAGGGAACATAAGGTTATTGTTTCCTTGACATTTAAAATACTAATTGCAAAGCATTAAATGGCCAGTAGTCATTTAATGTGTTCATGAATCCAAGAAACTGGATAGGCCAACACATACCGATTTAGCTTTAGTGATGTAGTGTTGTAGATGATATTGCCTGTTTTACGGGTGATGGAACTGAGGTAGATAATCTAAGTGACTAATTTAGCTTTTGTGATGAAGTGGCTATCAAGATTGTTTGCATTTGTTTTAAAGTGTTCAAAGAGACTTTGTGTTTTGTTTCCTCTTTGATCTTTATGGTAACTTTGGTGGTTGTGCAGGCAGGTGCCATTCTTACTTTATGGAAGAATGTGTATCAGATTAACTGGCCGGCCAGTGCTGTGTGCATTGTAAGAGTGGCTGTGAGCTGCAGAGGCTTGAGCTCCAGGTCCTTGGCCACTCAGGGTGATGCTAAGTGATGCTCACTGATGTTGTACCAGTGCCCAGTGGACATGAGTGGAGGGACACACAGCAGCAGCATCCGCAGCTTACTCTTCAGGACTTTGTGCATATATTGGCTTAGGTCACTACAGCAAACAATAAAACAAAATAAAACAAAACAGAACATTGTACCTATTTATAAATATGCTGGTGAGGAAGTTAAAAGAGAAACAGTGGACCCATTCATGATTATAATCACATCAGGTCAGAAGATGTATATATGTGCTTCCGTCTGTGTTAAAGCTTGAGCCTCTCCTTCCCACAGTTGATCTGAAGGGGTCTTTTCAGTCCCTTTCGGGTGCTTTCTACACAGTCTCTGACTCTGTCCCCATTCCATCCTCTGCTGTGCATTATACAGCGGTTTATATAGCATTATATAGCCGAATATAGACTGTAAAGAAACTTTGAAATGTATGAAAGCAATTAGCTAACACATATTTTTAATGTGTGTATACACAGAAAAATATTCTATCTACGGGTGAAACAGACCCATCTACTCTGGGAGTTTCTCTTCCTATCGACGAGCGATTATCTGCCAAGGTATGTAGGTAGGAGTAGAGTTTCCTGGGGCTTCAAAATTATGACAGAATACCCTTCTAGTCACACCATTTCTTCCTAACGACTGTAATCTTTCTTTAAAAAAAAAGTTTGTGGAATTTCTATTTGAGTCATTTGAAACTTTTTTTCTTGAACATTAATGATATAATGTCATAGATTTCTTGAATGTGTTGATTCTTTTGCTGTATTTAATTAAATATTCAGCTTATTTTTTTTAACATTCCTATGTGAGCCACAAAGTTTGTGCTATGAGTAGGTGTGAGAGGATAGTGTTTCTATCATCACTCCACTAATACACAAAGTTTGTGCTATGAGAAGGTGTGAGAGGATAGTGCTTCCATCACTCCACTAATACACAAAGTCTGTGCTATGAGTAGGTGTGAGAGGATAGTGCTTCTATCATCACTCCACTAATACACAAAGTTTGTGCTATGAGAAGGTGTGAGAGGATAGTGCTTCCATCACTCCACTAATACACAAAGTTTGTGCTATGAGTAGGTGTGAGAGGATAGTGCTTCTATCATCACTCCACTAATACACAAAGTCTGTGCTATGAGTAGGTGTGAGAGGATAGTGTTTCTATCATCACTCCACTAATACACAAAGTCTGTGCTATGAGTAGGTGTGAGAGGATAGTGCTTCTATCACTCCACTAATACAGATTCCTATATTTTAAGAGATTGCAGCAACATTAAGTAGTATGTGTTGGAAACTGAGGCTGGATCTATGCTCAGTTATGGCATGAACCTTGGCTGAACTCTGGCTCTCTCTTGGCTGTACATTTAGAGCCTTCAGTTTTTCCACAAACTAGCCCTATTTAGCAAGATCAGCCTAGCATATAACTACTAGCCCCATCACCGTAGTAACCTTTCTTGTTCTCACAATTCCTGATCTTTCCACCCATGTCAACATCCATTCTTTGTGATTTTCTATATTCTGCCTGCAAGAACACCTGGTCCTCAACCATTCTCTGACCTCCCCTGCCCCCTTTCCTACATCCTTGCTCTGCTGACTATATAAGCTCTGGGTAGAAAAATAAAGTTTGCCACTTGATCAGAATCCTGTCTTGTGGTCAATTCCCCCGTTCTTTTGACCCCTCCATCCCCTTCTTAGGGTTTTGAGTTCTAGGTTGAAGTCTTGCTCTAGGCAAGTATGTAAGACAAAATGAACAGTTACTAAGTTTCAAAAAGCAGACCTACTTTTTAAGTACTCTAATTTTAGAGTATGTTGTTTCAGTGACATTGAATGTATTAGGATTTAAGAAAATATACTAATGCGGTGTATTTGCATTTCAACAACAGTCCCATTATGTTATTTTAATGTACATTTAATTTTTTGGTTTAGGAGTTCTTTAACTTAGAGAATAAAATGATTAGTATCAAGCATTTTGGTAGTGGTCTGGGGAATTGCAAGACGGATATGTCATTGAGAAGCACTGGGGGAAAAGAATAAAAAGGTTTTATAGCTGAAGTAATTCCATTCTGTTAGTGACATCAAAGCATACGTTCGTGTATATTGCAAAGGCAAGGAGACCTGGGCAGCTGCCATGCTGAGGAGTCCTTTTCTGTTCCTTCTGTGACTTCTTGTCCATGAACTCAGTAGAAAAGCCTGCCTTGGCTAAGAGTTCCAACTTGTGTGATTCTGCTTTGATATTAACAGCTTTTTTCCTGAAACTGAAGTTTCATTGCCTTTCAATTTCCCTTTTAAGGAAAGGTTGAAACTTGAGCGCAACAAAGAATACAATCAATTTCTCAGGGGTAAGGAAGAATCCATAGAAAAGGCCAGACAAGTGGAAAAGAATATTGAGGTACGTTTTACATTTATAAAATGATTTTTAACATCATATGCATGAGTGGGCTGCTGGGATTTTATGTTTGTGCCCTCATCCTTAGTTTCTGGGTGATTTTATATATGGATGATTATATATATTTAATTTTGGCCGGGTGTTGGTGGTGTACACCTTTAGCACTCGGGAGGCAGAGCAGGTGGTTCTCAGTAGCCTGGTCTACAGAGCTAGTTCCAGGACAGGCTCCAAAACTACAAGAGACACCCTGTCTTGGAAAACAACAAAACAAAACAAAAAGATTTCGTGTTTCTTTGGCTCTTACAATCTTTCCGTCCTTGGGTGTAGGAGTTGTGTATTAGATGTAGCCTCTGGGCCTGAGTCATTGGAGCAGTTGTCAGTTGCTCTTTGCATTTTGACCAGTGTGGTTTCCTATAACGGTCTCCATCTGCTCCAAAGAGAAGCTTCTTAGATGAGGTGAGAGTCACACTTAGCTGTGAGTGTACAGATGAGTATTTAGAATCTGGGAAGGAATTAGGCTGGTTTAGTAAAGTGATAGTAGGCTCTCCTTTGAGAGCCTCTGACCTCAGCAGCCTTGGGTGGTTAAGTTTCTAGTACCAGCCACGATTTCCTTCCTGGTGAGTGAGTGGCCTTAAGACCAATTCGACAGCTGTTGGTTAGCCCCAAGGTGTAAGTGCCACGATTCTACCTTGAAGGATATATGGCCATGCTGGTCGTTGTTGTGGTTCATAGGCATCACAGCTGGGTAGGTGTCTAGTCAGGGTTACTATTGCTCTGATGAAACACCCTGACCAAAAGCAAGTCGGGGAGGAAAGGGTTTATTTGGTTTACACTTCCACATCACAGTTCATCATTAAATGTAGTGAAGACAGAACCCAAGCAGTGCAGGACCTGGAGGCAGGAGCTGATGCCAAGACCATGGAGGAAGGCTTGCTCAGCCTGCTTTCTTATAGAACACAGGACCCCCAGCCCAGGGATGGCACCGCCCACAATGGGCTTGTCCTCCCCATCAATCACCAATGAAAATGCTTTACAGACTTGCCTGCAACTGGATCTTACGTAGGCATTTTTTAATTGAGATTCCTCCTCTGGGATGACTGTGGCTTCTGTCTGGTTGACATGAAGGTGTCCAGCACAGTAGGATTGTGGGTTGCTCCCCTCCCTTGGCTGCCTGCATGGTACTGTTTGGTGCCATGAAAGCTGTTCCTCAGGGAGGAGGGTTCCAGGTCAGCTCACGTCTAATCTCCCAGTGTCTCACATGCATGGTGTCTTCAGCAGTAGGTTCTTACCTTCAACCTCTGAGAGACAAGCAAGGGCAACAGCCATAGCTTACGATGTTTGGAAGTCCCGTGGACTCCCCTAAACAGCAGCTCCAAAGAAGGCATGCCATGCCTGGTACCGAAGTTGTTGTTAGATTGTGTGTGGTTCTTGGGGGCATTGTCAGCTCATGTGGCATAACTTAACTTTTTTCCCCCCGAGACAGCGGCTCACTGTGTAGCTCTGGCTGTCCTAGAACTTGCTCTATAGATCAGGCTGACCTCAAACTCAAGAGATCTACCTGCTTCAGCTTCTGCCTCCCAAGTGCTGGGATTAAAGGTGTGTGCCATCACCACCCAGCAAAGCTTAGCGTGTTGAGGAAGAATTTAGTTTGAAGGAACTATTCTTTATGTTGAGGAAGAATTTAATTTGAAGAACTGTGCAAATATTAAAATATGTGTGTAATGTCTGAGGCTAAGAATTTGCATTTAATTGTCAGGTTTTCATAGCCACTTGCCCATTTTACTATTGCTTGTCTCTTGCTATATAATAAAATTTACTGCAAAATAATTCTTTGAAGTTTTTTTCGAAAAAGAAGATAATTTAATGGCTTTTTTTGGACTAAATATCAAAGTTGATATATATATATATATGTATATGTATATATATATATATTTTAAGGATAGTTATTGGACTTTTATGTAATAAAGATTTAGTATGACTGGAGACTTTATCTTTTGTATGATAATATCTCAATAGGTTTATTTTTTTCCTTTTTTAATTCAACAGCCAAAGAGTCAAAGAAATAAGAACCCCGTTAGTCAAGGTAAATCTGACCTACCTCCACAAATACAGATATCATACACACATTCTGAGGCACCAACATATGAAGAGCTTCTCGACCGAAGACGGCGAGAGGAGGGCAGATACCGACAGCTAGATGATGAACTTGAATTAGTGAATAGAAGACTTCTTAGACAGACAAATGAAGAAGTAGGCGTTCCCGGAACAAAACTAAGCTTTGCCAGCGAGACTGGTGCCCGGGAGCGAAGAGCTCGCAGGGTTAATGAGGAGCGTGCGCTTGATAGACAGCACTATAGATCTGACTGGAACCCTGATGCAAATGAAGAGATGGACGAGAGGTTTAGGTTTGAAAGTGACTTTGATAGAAGACTTCTGAGAGTGTATCCAAATGACAGGTATTTATATCCTTTTTTTTATTTACTTAATATTGCTGTTAGCTTGCTGTTAGCTTTATAAAAACAGTTTTACTTGATTTACCATGTTTGATTAATTCAGCCATACTGTCTGTTTTGTGAAGCACCATAATTTTATGTGTCACTGAAAACACTCAAAATGAGGACCCCAACGTACAGGTAGAAGGTGGGATGTGTATGCCCTTAACTTAGAAGTGAGTGGAAACATTCTCATAGAGGGAATTTCTTATCTCAACCATGATCAAGTAGGGGAGTCAACAAAAACCTAGACAAAAACAATCAAACAAAAGCACCCAAATCTTGTATGTCAGTGGGAAACCTAAAGCAGATAATGATTGAGATTCGAAGCCTGGATTCTGGTTGCCGGTACCATCCAGAGAAAGCCCGAGGTTGGGGACTCTGGTTGTCATAGTTTCCCAGATGACTATTAGGGATAAAACTCACTTAAAGTTAGGTGGATAGCCATCCTAATTTCAAATTTTAAAATTTAGGGAAAAGGGACATTTTGAAAGACAGCTTGTGCCTTCAATGTCTGTACAACTTAAGTATCTTTATCAATGTATTTTAAAGACTATTATTGGACTTAGAGAATGCAAATGGCATAAACTTTTATCAATCAGATTTTCAAATGTTTTTTTTACTTCCTTTGAAAAATTGATTTGTGATATTGTTTGGAATTTCTTAACTATAAGTCTCTGTTGACATTTACTTTAATATTTAACTTGATGTATGTTTTCCTAACTATTAGAGATAGAAATGTCCCAGGGCCTACGTTTGTCAGTGACTTGCTAACTTGAAGGATTACATATAAATTTTGGGACCTGTTTTGTTTAATAGTGTAAACATTTAATTTTTTAGTATTTTAGAAAATATTCTTGGGGGTAATGCTGAATTGTCAGTATTTTAAGTACTGATAACAATACAAAGCTTTCATTAATTCTTTGTCTTTAGTCTGTCTCTTAATTTAGGTAATTTGAATTAAAAATTTAATATCTGGAAGAATGAGAAATGTGGATTGCTTACTATAGTTTTCTATATGAGCCTAATCTAATTGTAGTTCAGAAAATGCTCCATATCCTATAGTATCTTATATTTGAAAATGCTTATATTTAAAGTTAAGTAAAATACCTTTCAGTTTTGCAACTCCAGGTACTCCTTGAATCTTGATGGTGTCGTCACTGTACCTGTGAACTTTCTAGAACCTTTATTTACTCTTTATGATATTTACCTCCTGAATGTAATGCATAACTTTAAAGTCTGGAATTTTAAGAAACTTATGACAGTTGGTGCTTTATTTTTCACATATGGGCTAACAAATCAATTAATTGTATCCAATCACTTGAGGCCTGTATTATTACTTACCTCATAAATGAAATGACCTTTCTCTGTCAACTTCCTTAAATAGTATTTTGAGATTATTTTATGTAAGGTTGAGTTCTTACTCATGATCTCAATTCTGAACACTATTTAAGTTGTGTGTTACTTACATTTTGTTAATGTATCAAGTATCACATCTCCACACGTTATGCTGTTTTTCATGTTTCTTGAGGAAACTGGGGTTATACCCACCCATTCTTTCTCTTTGAAAAAAGAATTCTTATTAATCATTCAATATTATACTTTATATTTAATGGATATAGTACAATATTCAAAATATAGTTCATATCTAATGGCTAAAGTTGTTAGTAAAAGAAATAACCCTATTTGTTAATGTCTGCGATTTCCTTGTTCCTCACTTCTTAAAGTTTTGATCAATTCTACTGTTATAATGATGTCTTATTTTATAATTTTGCTATGAGTTTCCTTCTAATTATCATATAACTTCTTAACATACCTGATGTATTATGAATGTCTATTTTTTCTTATATTAAAGGTGGGGCAGTGAAATCTCTCCAGGAAGGGTTGTTTCCTATAGACATACCATGAATTGATCGGTGTTCTTAAATAATTGATACAGTCGTTCTCCCTGGGACTAACAGCTTGTACTGTGTGTTGTGTGTATGTTATGTGTGTATACTGATGAGGAAAGCGTATGTTGAGAGGCTCTCTAAAGTTGAGTATAATCGTTTTTTTTAATGTTACTTTGAGTTACAGATCCTCAAAATGTAGCCTATGCTAGTCTTTATTACTTATTAACTGAGCTGTGGAAGTTAACAGAGTATCTTCGTGTTTTCCTTTAATATTAACGAGTTAAGCAAGGTTTTAGTATTGGAATGCTGTGTGCAGTTTCTGTGTGACTAATGGTGTTAGCATTTCCATTCTATTTAAATCTTGCTAGTCAAATACTTATAATTTATAGACGTTCAGTAAAATTCTGAAATCCTTCCACTGAAGCTGGAATCTGTATAAATCACAGGGGCCTACTTAGTGTAGTATGTTCTTCTAGATTTAATGTGTAAGACATAAATGAAAAGTGCCTAGTTACAATTTACCTATTGGTGTTTGCTTCTCACTTAATACCTTTTTCTTCAGAAAAGTCATTTTAGTGATTTTTTAAAAAAAGATTCATTTGCTGGGTGGTGGTGGCACACGCTTTTAATTCCAGCACCTGGGAGGCAGAGACAGGTGAATCTCTGTGAGTTCCATGCTAGCCTGATCTGCAGAGTGAGTTCTAGGGTAGCCACAACTACACATAGAAGCCCTGTCTCGAAAAAAAAAATTTTTTTTTATTTACTTTTAAAAACCTTTAAGTATGTGTATGTGTTCCTGTCTAAGTTTATGTGCACTGTGTGCGTGCAGTTGCTGGTGGAGGTCGGAGGGTTTCAGATCCCTGGAGTTGGAGTTTAAGGCCACTGTTAGCCATCTGATACAGTTCTATGTAAATGGCATTCTTCTTAATTGGTCTAAATAATAAAAACCCAGAAGCAGATGTAGAGGAGAATCTGAGAGATCATCGAGAAGGAGCAAGCTAAAGCCACCTTTACCTCATTAGCTTTCCAGCAGAAAGAAAAGTCAGAGTTATATCCTCTCTCTGCCCAGCTGGCTCACTTCCTGCATCTGTCCAGCCATCTAACTTCCTGTCTGTATAGATCTCCACACCTCTGTGGTTAGCTACTAGCAAGTTCTGACCTTCAGACAAGCTTTATTCGTACAAGCAAGATAACACCACAGTTCTGGAGTCTGGACCATCTCTCCAGCGCCGTATAAACCGATTTCCCTTCACATTAAAGATCTAGTTGAGTGTAGAAACTTTATTACCTATACAAATTAGAAAAGAAGCGGAGATGATGGGTAGTATTGCTCACAGGTGCCCTCCCAGAAAGCTGTGAAAGCGTAACTCAGCAGCACCGTGCATCACTCACTCCATCCTTCAATTAAGTTTTTGTTGTGGAGACAGGCTCTCGGTAGCACATGCTGACTGACCCAAGACTCACTGTAGCTCAGGCTGTCTATAACTCATGACAATCTTTTTGCCTCAGTCTCTGAAGTGCTGGATTGCAGGCCTGAGCCGCCACACTTGAAGAAAGATACTTGTCATTCGAAAGCAAAGCAATGCAATTACTAGTTAGAAATTTAGTAGTTTCTTTCCTTTTTTAAAATTACACTTTATTTTTTATGGGGGAGGTCAGTCAGTGCACAATAGAGGTCAGTCAGGGGTTAACCTTTTCCTCTTATTACCATGTGGGTCTGGGAATTGAACTCAGGTTCTCAGCTTGATGGTGAGTACCTTAACCTGCTGGGCTCTCTCACTAGCCCTAATGGGTTCTTTGAAAGTTAGAGAACTTGAGTTTCCTACTTTGTGCGTTGGGTCAATGTAGAAGTTACAGATGGTATTTTATTTGATTTGGTTTTTGAGACCGGGTTTCTCTGTGTAGATGAGCCTGTCCTGGAACTCCATTTGTAGATCAGGCTGGCCTCAAACTCAGGAAGATCCTCCTGCCTGTACCTATCCAGTGCTGGGATTTAAGGCGCGAGCCACCACAGTATTTTCAAGGCCCTGGGTTTGATACCAGTCCTTCAGAAAGGTGAGGTGTACGATTCAATGTGGCTATTGAATTTTCAGTTCCAGATTCAGGAAGAGTAAAAGACTAAGATTCTAAACTACAAGCTGGTCTCATGGCATTTATTTATTTATTTATTTATTTATTTGTTTGTTTGTTTGTTTATTTATTTATTTGTGTGTGGGGGGGGTCTTAGTAACTAAAAAGTTTTGGTCTTTCTATTTGCAAATAGCAATTTTTCCTGAATTTAAAACAGTAAGCACAGTTGTATCAATCACAATATTGAACTGGATGCCTTATGATTTTGTAATTCTTTTTAGTGAAGTGTGTGTTTCTCCTACCCAGAGCTCTTAAATATTTCTGTAATATTTATGTTACTGTAATTGTAAGTGATAGATGACTTTTATAATCTTGTTCATGAGTTTTTTTTTTTTTTTTTTTAACTAGGAGGTGTACTTTAGAACAGATTTTGTGTGGGCTGTTCACTGGGAAAGCTTTATAGTTTTATGCATTGACAACAACCTTTATCTTAGACATAAATAAGATAATTTGTAAAATTTTGTTAATTTAGTATGGCTTGCAAATTATATGGTGCTTGCTTATATGGTCTGTATATGTGCTGAAGAGCCCGTGAACTATATTTTTGTGTGGGTATATGGCTCTTGCTATTATGGTTTTAATACACTTAAGATAGAAATACTATTTTTAAACAAGTTAGTTGATAATGCAGGACACTGTAGTTCTTTGGTAAGTTTTAGAACAAATCTCTATGTTTCTTACTGGCTTTTAATTCTGGCTCCCAAAGTTATGCTTTAAAAATGGCAAGTTTAAATGTCTCTGTATGTTTTTTGTTGTTACTGACCTCTTATACCGCCAGTGAATTTATTTTTGTGTGTCTGTTAGTCCCTGGTGATTCTTTGTGTAGATTTGACTCAGTTGTAATTGTATTGAAATCCGATGTCCTGGCAGTCCTCAACATGTGGTAGCTTTTTTCTTGCCTCAGCCTCTTCTGCTGGGATTGCAGGCACATAGCACATCAGGTGACAGCCGTGAGTTTCTGTAGCTGTAGGACAGACAGGAAGTACAGCAAAGGGAAAAGCATGGGCAGAAGCAGAGGGTACTGTGCTTCCTTTTGAAGCACGAGACTCAGTGCCTATGGTTCTTCCCGAGGGCGGGTTGTATGGATGCCCCTTCCTAGCATAAGCTAACATGCAGACGCCCGATAGGAAAGCACGTGTTTCTTTATAGCCTCTATTGTTTGTGCATGGTTTAGGACCAGTGCACTCATTAGTTCTTAGCCTGGTGGGAGCCTCTTAAAACCTATATTGTCAGGTGACAACCTATGTAAGCAGCCCCTTAGTGGTTAGGAAGTCTCAAGCCTGCTGTTAGACTTTCTGCATATGTCTTTTATATAGACGCAATATAACTAAATATCAAGGGCATTGTTCATTCATTACAAACTGGAATTTGCTTTAAGTGGTATGAATAGGGGATAGCACTAGATTGTGTTAGTTTAAAAGAGAGCTGAACTAGCTTTTCTTTTTAAGTTTATTATTTTTTTTGGCTTTTCAAGATAGGTTTTCTCTGTGGCTTTGGAGCCTGTCCTGGAACTCTGTAGACCAGACTGGCCTTGAACTCACAGAGGTCCACCTGCCTCTGCCTTCCGAGTGCTGGGATTAAAGGTGTGCACCACCAGAGCTCAAAGCTAGCTTTTTTTTTTTTTTAAAGTTAAGTTGAAGTAAATGTTAAAATGGCATGTAGGGTACTGTGTTAGATGTGGGTTAAAAAAAAAAAAAAAAAAAAAAAAAAAGAAGCAATTCCTGTTTTGGTGGCAAAGTCACAGTGTTATTAAGATTACTGTTTGGACCTATTCCCCCCCCCCCCACCATAACTCCAATCATGGTTTTGTGGTAACAGTAAGTGAAGTCTGTGGTAGGCTGCATCTTTGGAGAATTCTTTATTCTTTTCTTTTACAGCTGAACGTGGCCAGTCCTGTTATCATGTTCCTCAACAATGCTTCTTTTTATCTTATTCAGAAGGAAAATATAATTTTTTAATAGCTGCATAAAGAAATAGGACTTGTGAAATGCTGGTTTTTCATGGATGCTAATAAATGATCATGTAAAAAGTTATGCTGGCTTCTCTGGCATGAGGAATTTATTTCATAAGAACAAATCAGTGTTTGCCAAACGGAAAAAAAAAGGTTGAAAAAATTTTCACTATTTAAATGATTGCTTTTTTTAAAAAGAAATTCTAAACTCTGTTTTTTTTTTCATTATGATCTTGTATGTAAAGTGAAGGTTCCTCAGATTTATTCTGCATCAGGCTGTCCTTACAATAATGTTTCTGGTGTGGTTTTCGTTAACATTCTTTCATGGAGTTAATTGTGTCGGTCTTTAAGTTAAGAGCCTTAGTTTTATGTATAGTGAAATAATTCCCAGTATGCATATGTTTTAATTAAAAAATATTTTGTTTTAGTTTTGCCAGTGTGTACAGGAACTATGTCTACTCAGTGCCCAGAACAGGTTTGCTCTACAGAAGGTGCCCTGTAATTCCTATGTTTACCTAATGATACATACATACTTACATGCATGCATACATAGCTGGAGAGATGGCTCAAAAGCTAAGAGCGCTTGTTGCTCTTCCAGAGGGCTTGAGTTCAATTCGTGGCACCCAAGTTAAATGACTTAACACTAGCTCTGGTTGATCCGACCCTCCCTCTGGCCCCTCAGGCCTTAGCAAAGACATTGCTTGTGTGCGCACATGAGGGTATACACACACACACACACACACACACACACACACACACACAAAAGATTAAATATTTAAATGTAATTGAAATAAAATATTTAGAAGTTATATAGAAATAATTTACAACAGTCTCAGTGAAATAAAACTATTAGGGACTGGGGTTGTAGCATTACTTTGCCAGTGTATTGTTATACATGAAAACAACAGCAAACTTGAATGTAAATCCTCACTACGTCTTGTTGACAAGCAAATCATACTTGAGGCAGACTGGATTTGATTAACTTTAGGGTGTGTTTGCAGTAACTGTCAGCACAGTCTTTGTGTGGGGTGTGCTCTATAAGCTCATGTGTTTTTAAGGCCACTTGGAAACAGACAAGGGCACGCGCCTCCTGTGGAGAATGAGGGTGCTGTCCCAGAGCAGTCCAACACCCAGATTTCCTCTGCTGGAAATACAAGGTACGTGACTGCAGCTCTGTCCTTGAGTCTATACCCTGAAACAGCACCTGTCTAAAACTGGCCTAAGGAAAAAGTAGGGAAAGCATAGCGAATTAACAGCCACCTTTCAGTAGTGACGGATTGACTGGGGAGAAAGGTGAGGAGGTAGGCATTAGGGGTGAGTATTTATAGTTCTTTCTTTCAGTGTTCTGTGTGTTCCCTCCTCTCCTCCCTTTCTTGACTCTGTGTCTATTCTGGGGATTGAACATAAATCATTGAGCGAGGTAAGCACTTCATCACCCAGCTACATCCCTTCGTCCCTGGGCCACACATTCTTCTCAAGGATGCTTGTAGTTCTCTGGACATTTCTCTAGAGTCAGTTTTCTCTTCAAACCTGTAATGGCTCTCTCGTTTATGGCCTCTCTCTCTCTCTCTCTCTCTCTCTCTCTCTCTCTCTCTCTCTCTCTCTCTCTCTCTCTCTCTCTCTCCCTCTCGTCTATTTGTCCAAGTCAATCTTCCTAGTCCTACAGGACCTCACTAACAATCTGAGCAACAGTGGAAAGGCTACCTTAAATGCCCTTTCCTGATAATGAGACTGATAACTAACTCATCTAGTAGCTGATGGGAGCAGAAGCAGACACCCACAGCTAAACAATGAGCTGAACTCCTGGAATCCAGTTGCAGAGAGGGAGGAGTGATAATATAAGGGGGTCATGACCAGTCTATAGAAACCCACAGGGACAGTTGACCTGAACAAGGTGGGAGCTCATGGACCTCCAGACTGCTAGCTGGGAAACCAGCGTGGACTGATCTAGGCCCCCTGAACATGGGTCCCAGTTAGAAGGTTTAGGCAGTCTAAGGGACCTCAGACAGTGGAACCAGGATGTATCCCTGGTGCACAAAAGGACTGTGGGAGCACATTCCCCATGGAGGGATACTCCCTTAACCTAGAGACAGGAGGGAGGGCCTAGACCCCACTCCAGATGACAGATTTTGATGACCCTTCCTGGAAGGCATCACCCTCCCAATGGAGTGGGGGGGTGGGATGGGAGGGAGTTTGGGGTGTGAGAGGGAAGGAAGGAGGGAGGGAGAGGGAACAGGGATCAATATGTAAAATAAGAGAAAATTATATATGTATGTGTGTATATAAAGAATTTAGTGAAGCTTGGCAGGGCTTTCAGAGTAAGCCCCTCTCATTATAAAGTGTGTAAGTGATCCTTTTGGCAGCACAGACACTAGAACTGGAATGATAAGTTTATCAATTAGTTTCAGATAATGAAGGAGCAGTGAACATAATGGTGTTCGTCTTGGAATTATGGCTGGAGAGATGGCTCAGTGGTTAAGAAGTTGACTCAGGTTTGAATTCCAGCACCACATCTGGTGGCTCACAAGTGCCTGTACTTCAGTGCTAGAGGATTTCTCCTGCGGCAGGCTCATGCGCACAGTTAAAAGCTAATCTTTAAAAAAAAATGTCTTGAAGTCTTGGTACTACAATGGAATTGAAAATACCCTTCAGTGGGGGTTTTAACTTCATTATTATTATTTGCTTATTGGCAGAGTAGCTTTAATGCTTACTTTATTTACTTATTTAGCAGTTTTTTGAGACAGGGTTTCTCTGTGTAGCTTTGAAGCCTGTTCTGGGATTCACTTGAACTCACTCAGTTCCGACTCGAACTCACACAGATCCACCTGCCTCTGTCTCCCGAGTGCTGGAACTAGAGGTGTGTGCCACCTTTATAAAATTAGTATTCAACAACAACAACAAGAACAAAAAAACCAAACACACACACACACACACACACACACGCACGCACGCACGCACGCACACCCTAAGATTAGCACTCAAGTTTGTCTTGATAAGAAAGTTAATGACATTAAATACTCGTGTGTGCTTTTCTGTCTCTGTTGCCACGCCTCAGCTGTGGGATTATAGGCATGCACGTCTGTATTAGCTCCCGCCTGTGTGTGCTGAGGGTTAAGCCCAGTCATCAGTGCTTTTCACGACTTTACCCACTGAGCCATCTCAACTCCTAGTCCTTTTTTTTTTAAATTCTTTGCGACAAGGGTTTTTACATGTGGTTGAATCTTTCTGCTAGCTTCAAACCCACAGTCCTTTAGCCTTGGCCTCCCAAGTGATGGCGTTAATGGTGTGCACCACCATCCAGGCCTTTAGATTGGGTTTTGATTTCCTAAAACCACCAGGATTGTAATATTTGCTCTCTCATACTGCTTTAGTGCTCAGGATAACGAGCCTTCCAAGTCTGCTGGCCGTGGTGTCTGTAGTCCGTTTGCGGGGATGCTCTTCGGTATGTACAGCACTTGCCATGATTAGACCTTCGCAGAATGTTGAATTAAATGTCCTTAGGAACGACAGCAGTTTATTGAGGCGTACGCTGGGTACCATGCTGATTATGTAGCATGAATTGTATAGAACTGTCGAGACTTTAAAGGCTATATAACTTAATGATGAAATCAGTTTCAGTAATAAGGGTTTAATTTCTTTTTTCTAGGACTTTGTTGCACCACTGATGCTTCTTTTTATTGTCTTCTATGTGACCCTTGACTCTTTGGTTGTTTCTGAAGTAGGGTGAAATTGTCCTGCTTTGCTTTCTTTGAATATCCCTTCCTCCCTCCCCAACCTTGTTGCCTTAGTCACTGTTATGCTGTGTGTGTTTGTGTGCATATGTATGAGAGAGAGACACACACAGAGAGACAGCAACAGAGAGACAGAAAGACAAAAGAGAGAGAGAGAGACAGAGAGACAGAGAGACAGAGAGGGAGCCAGGACAGACAGAGACTGAGAGGCTGGGTCTGGCACGAGCTTTAGAAACCTAAAAGCCCACCACCAGTGACACACTTCCTCCAACAAGGCCACACCTTATATAATTCTTGTAATCTTATGAAAGAACTCCACTCCTTGGTGACGAAGCATTCAGATATATGAACCTGTGGGAGCCGTTCGTATTAAAACTGCCACACTTATTCTTTCTATGTAGCTTCTGATAAAGTTTTTTTTCTTTCCCACATCATGATGATAATCCAAATTTTCTATTTCTTTTTGAAATCATGGGTCAAGGTCATTACTGAATATAATCCTTTTGGTTTGCTGTATTATATTTGTCTTTATTTCATTTCAGAAATGGTGCGGTGAGCCTTGCTTTTTGCTTATTGCTTTGTTATACAAAAGAAGTTATTCTTTGAATGGACACTTTGAAAACTCACTTAAAATTTGGTTGTAGCAAGGTACATGAGCAAATTGAATAGCGTTTTTAGGTTCTTCCAATTTAAAAGTCAGTAATTTAAATTTTGGCTTTGAGACATATGCGTGGTACTTTCAGACTTTTATTTCCTGGAAATGACTATTGCAAAAAAGATGATATATTCACAGAAACTTAGTTCTTGTTGCCTATAAGATTTGACCAGTTTTATCATTAAATCAGAGTAAAGGCATGCAATTATGATATATTTTGTAACACATGGTACAAGAAAAGGAGAAATGTACCTGAGAAGTGAAATAATAATTTTGTCAATAAGAAGATTAATGAGTTTACCAGGATGCAGTCAGGAACTGAATGACATAATAAACTAGTGTTTGGAATAAATCATTGAAATCATTTAAGCCAGTGGTCCATCTTACATTTTAGGATTTGTGTATGTTACTGAGGATGTTTGTATATACAGGGAGCTTAACTTTCTCTAAAGACAGTAGCACATTTCAGTTTTAGGCTATGCCAGTTGTTAAAATACTTTAACTTCAGTTGTACTAAAATTACTTTCCTTCAAATATTTTATTTAGAACTTTTACTTTATTAAAAAGCAAAAACTGGATGTGGTGGTGCATACCTTTTATCTGAGCACTTGTGTGCAGAGGCAAGCAGATTTTCAGTGCATTTGGGGCTAGCCTGATCTACATACTGAATTTCTTAAGCTTGCATTTAGAGTTAAGTGTCTTGACTCTTTCTTACCTAGGAGGCGAAGATCGAGAACTTCTCCGGCAAAAGAAAGAGAAGTACAGGCAAGAGCTGCTGGAACAGATGGCTGAGCAACAGAGGAAAAAGAGACGGTAATTAAAGGCTTGCAGTGAGCAGAGCACACTGTGTAGGGATGAGATGTCAAGAATGTACGTCAGGTTTCCCCCATGTAGCTCGAGTGCAGATCACGTAACTGTACCTCTGCTCATATGCTAACAGATCGTTTATCTTTGAAAACAGGAAATGGTGAGCATACACTCATGCAAGACAAAATGCAGCAAATCACAGAGTTCATGTTCTGTTCAACTGGTTATACTCTTTTCTCTTTTTTTTTTTTTGATTTTTTTCTGAGAGTTTCAGAGATGTAACTAATGACTTTTAATCTTGACTATCTGTTACCTTCTCAGTTTTCTTAAATTATCTGTGCAGTAGTAACTAAAGTTAAGAATAAAAATCTTGGTTGGTTATAAAGAATTGGAGAGTTATCTTATCTTTCCCTCACTTCCAAGGAGAAGCTAATACCTTAATATCTCCTATTAGCTATCTTAAAACAAAACAAAACAAATAACATATTCTTTTTTTTTTTTTTGTAGTGTTGGCCTTTGAACCCAGAACCTTGTGCACTTGTTAGTTAAGCATGCCTTCTACTATTGAAAATTTTTTTCTTTCAAGATTTATTTTTATATTATGTGTATGACTGTTTTGTCTGCATTTATGTATGTACACTGCATGTATGTATATACACTGTATGTGTGCCTGGTTCACTTGGAGGCCAGAACAGAATGTCTGAGTCCTTAGGACTGGAGTTACAGGTGTTTGTGAGCTGCCATGTGGGTACTGAGAACTTGAATCCAGGTCCTCTGCAACAACAGGAAGGTCTCTAAACTGCTGAGCCAAATCTCCAGCCTTATTGGCGTGAAAATATACACGTGCTCTAAAAGTGGCTTTAAATTTTTTTAATAAAATATTTTTTTTTGTTTTTTGTTTTTTTTATGCTGTGTAAACTACTTTGTCTTTGAAATGCCTCCAGTATTCATTTTGAGATAAGTGTTTTAAGGCATTTGACATGTAATGTGGACTATGATTAAATTTGATTTTAGGATTTTAAAGTTTTATTATCAATTAAAGGAATTATTTGTATTTGGAGATGTATTATATCGACTTTGTGTGCAAATCGGTTTCATTGATGACTATGTGTTTACTACAATTTTTCAATTTTTGAATCTTAATTTTGTTTAGAGAAAAAGATTTACGACTTTCAATTGTGCCTTGTGGTGTACAAGACCCTGAAAAATCGGTAAGTGTTCTTGGTGTCTTTCAGTGTTTAATCTTTTATTCAAATAAGCCTCAAATGTGGTAGCAAGTGAGGCTCAGCATGGTGGGACACTGTAGAATCCAGTTCAATTGGAACAATTGTGGACCAATCCGTTTTCATAAATGTCACTCATAGCTTACTATAATTATAGGAATGGTAACTGAAAACATAGTCCTATCCTTAAATGTTACCCACTGTTAGTTTTTTAAGATGACTTCCCATTTCATTTGTATATCATTTTTTAGTTAGTTTTGCCTTCTGTTCACATATGCAAGTCTGTAAGAAAATCATCTCAGTGTAACTTAAAGTTGATGTTGTGATTTAAGAAAAGCAGCATCTAAGAGAGAGGGATTTTTATTAGGGAAAGGGATCATAAGAAGGGGGAAGGGAGCAGGAAGGCTGGCGCAGGAGACAGGAGCAGCAGGAAAGAGGAGGTGGAGGGAGGGGACAAAGGGACAGAAAGTGAGGGGAGAGGAAGAGAGAGATGGGAGGTGGGCAGGGACACAGTGAATGTGCACAGGTGGAGCTCTCTGAGTGGCTGCAGGGAGGGCGTACCCTGTCAGAGCCCCAGGGACAGGGCAGTACTCATGCATGAATGCTAACACATACTACATTGAAATTGATCCTGACAACTTGTTTTCTTTATAAGAGTAATTTCCAAAAAACCTGTAACTTGAAAATGTCTTTTCATTTTGTTACTGTGAAACTAGAAGGATAATTATACTTTTTACTTCAATTTTGCAATTCTCAACATCATTAAGTGGAATGAATCACACACATCATTGCAGTTAAGTAAGGAGGAGGTAACGATTTATTGCTTTCCCACAATGCACGTTTTTTTTTTTTGTTTGTTTGTTTTTGTTTTTTGCTTTTTTGTTGGATGTGTAGTGTTTATTTGCTGCAAGTTTTTGTTTCTTCTGGAATGATAGTTAAGACCTCTAATTTTACTAAAAACCTAAGTCTTTAAGAAGGATCTAGCAAATTCTTAAAATTACAGTTATCTTAATTATTATTCAACTGTAGACTACTTTGGCTTTACCTAAGTATGTGTTCCTTGAGTTGCCTGTTTGAAAACATTTAGTGCTGGGCTGGAGCTTTGTGGTTGAATGTTCTCCTGCCCTGTGCCCAGTGTTTTACACTGCTCCAGCATCTCCCCTTTTTGTGTTTCTTTTCTGTCTGTCTCTTTTTGGGGAAGTAGTTATACAACTATAGCCTTAGTTGTCCTGGAACTAGGCCAGGCTATCTTCAAACTCACAGAGATCCATCTACCTCTGCCTCCCACGTGCAGGGATTAAAGCATGCGCTGCAACCACCTGGCTTTGCATTTCTGACTATTTGTATAATAAAAATTTTAATATTAGAAATCATTCCTGAGCCAGGCCTGATCTTATATATACACACATATATACACACATATATGTGTGTGTGTATATATATATATATATATATATATATATATATATATATATAATTTTTTTTAATAAAAAGTTATTTGAGAGGTTGAGGCAAGTTCAAGGTCTCTTTGGGCTATGAGTAAGTTCATAACTACCTTGGGCCACTTACTAAGACTCCTAAAGTAAAACTAAACAAGAAAATGAAAAGGACCAATATTATCTCAATAGGAGAGCTGCTGCCTAGCATGTGTGAGGTCTTAGGTTCAACCCGATTGCTGGTACTGCAGAGAGAAAAAAAAAAAACCCTTCTTGACTATATTGCCTTACAGAAAAAAATACATAGGGTTCAAAGGTAATCCTTTTTGTTTTCCATTAAACACCTTTAAAGTAGCTATTGCCATAAAAAATAACTTTTGGAAACCTGGCTTTTTAATGTAATGTGTTGGCATGTTAAGTTTTATAGTATCTTACTTATTCTGGAATTGAATCATGGAAACAGCGTCAAGTTGAATAAACACATATGCAACAATAGTGCAACATTATCTTGGTGTTCAAATATTTAAAAAGAACATAAAGTGATATTCTTAAGTAAATATTAGTAAATGGCCCCTGGCCCATCCAGTTGACTTTTTTTTTTTTTTTTTGTCAATAAAGTTTTATTGCAGCATAGCTTTGTTCTCTGGTGGCGTGTTGCCTGTGGGAGACTTTGACCTGCCAAGCCTGCGCATCTTTCCTCTCTGATGCTGCACACAGAGCGCTTGCTCTTGCTGCTCCGCAGGGCACTTTGCCCTCATAAGGCACCTGGGTAGAGACGTGGCATAGCGCTGTTCTGCATGCAGAGAGCTCTGCACTTGAAGTTCATGCCTGGCTGCAGTTGCTGTTTATTTATTAATCATGAGACTGTAGGTGGTTTATGTGCTTCTCGGGGAGCCTCAGTTCCCCACTTATAGATAAGAGTCAGATCTTTAAAGTCTTTTATAGCTGTAAAACTCTGCTGTTCTGTAACTGTCTTAAGTGCCTGCCGGGATAGAGGGTCCTTGGAGGTCCTTGTCACCCTAAAAGTTGTCATTCTATATAACAAACAGGTTTGTTTTGTTTTTGTTTTCTTTTTTATTTTAGCCCGATAGAGTAAAGCAGTTTAGTTTGACACCAAGACCCTTTGAAGAGATGATACCACCTGAGAGACCCAGAGTAGCTTTCCAGACTCCTCTCCCTCCTCTCTCTGCCCCGTCTGCCCCACCCATCCCGTCCGTTCATCCTGCCCCTTCTCACAATGAAGACTTGCACAGTGGACTCAGCAGCTCCCTTGGTGAAGTGGTACATCCCAGGTGCTTGTTTAAAATGTTTTGTGTGTGGGGATTAGGTAAGGCATTGTTGTGTCTTCTGCTTAGAGGGTGTGCTGAAGGACGGTGGCCCTCAGGGGTGGCCACACAATCTCTTTGTATCCGTTGTTATTGATACTCTTTTTCTGTGCTATTAGTAAAAGGAGAAATCTTTAATGTTTCTATGAAAGAGGATTAATATTTTAAAATGATCAGTGAGTACATGTTAGTATTTTTAGGTCGTATTTTTAATATCTTTTAACTTAGAAAAGTTATGCATTGTTCCATGATTTCCACTTGGCAATCACTGAATTGTTTCTTCAACTTACTCAGAAAAATTTTCTAATATGACACATATCTGTATGGCTTTGTCTAGCTTTGCTTCAGTTCTCTGGCTTACTCTAGGGCCATAATTGAACATGTCATTTCTATAGGTAAAAGTCATGTTATACTAATCTGCACATTAAGAAAACCCTGTAATAGATATTTTCTGACCTATACTTTTTTTTTTTTTTTTTTTTTTTTTTTTTTTTTTGCCTGTGGTTAATATGCTAACTATAGGAATATGTTTAAATTTGTGGGTGTTTTTCTTAACCTTGTAACACGTACTTCCGAGCTGTCCTTCCTTTCAGCAAGGCTTGGTGTTTTGCTACTAACAAATTGTAGGGCTTTTCTTACAGTATTTATCTGTTGCTTTCTCTGTTTCCATCAATGACTTCCCTGCTCCAAAGACAAGAGACTGGAATTGCAGAGCCTGCAGTGGCTTCTGTTTTGGATTAACGGTTGGAACAGGCGGCTCCCCTGGACTCTATGCAAACATGGGTTTCTCATTTGTTAAAGGTGGTAGTAGTCCTTGTCTACGGTGGAGGGTCATTGTGAAGTCGGACTCTTCTGTGTATATGTACAATATAGGAGTTGTGATAATCATAGATTCCATTCACAAGTTACTCGGGTTTATCTTTTGCTGATGTATCTGGGGTAACGACAGGGATGTTAGACACACTGAGTGACTGACTAATAGGTGTGGAATTACTCACTATTGAAGATACTCAGTGCCTTCTTAGCCCTTCTGATTCTTTAGGGGGAATGTGTTAATACTTGTGTAACAATCTAGAAAGTTCCTGTTTTCTTTCTGTTTCTCTAATCTGTCCTTGCCATTTTTATTATTGAACAGTACTATTCTGGAAGAAACACACAACTGTCTCCTACTCTGTAAAGAAATGTGGAAGTACAAGTTTCCATATATTTTAAGTATATTCTAGATTATACCAAGACTGTATTGATTTTCAACTAACTATATTATGGTTGACTTTTGGTGCAAAAACCAGCAAACAAACAAACAAACAAACAAACATATACACATGCACACCACTCACACAGACCCACACCCACATATCCACACACCCACACACCCTTTTGGCTGGGGAGATAGTTCAGTCAGTAATGTACAAAATAGTTGGGTGTTTTGGGGTGAGTTTGTGGTCCCAGTGCAGGGAGGTGGAGACTGGCTCCTCGGGACTTGGCCACCAGCCAATCTAGTTAGTGAATTCTTAGCTAATGATTGACCCTGTCTCAAAGAAGCGGAGTGGAGGGCTTCCAAGAATTGACACAGAAGGGTGACTAATAGCCTCTGCACATGTGCACGCACAGGCACACATTCTCTCCCCCATGCATGTGTTCCTACATGTACAATGGACTCCTGAGCACCCGTGTGGGCATGTGCACATGCGTAGCCACACACAGACACTGACTGTATTCACTGTCTCACCTACACAGAATCACTTGTAGTCCTGAGGTTGTGGAGGGACTCTTTGTTCCGTCTGAGTCTCTCACCTTATCACATACCTCAGAGTCCTTTTCTGGGACTCTTGAAGCTTTCCTCCCGTCTCTTTAGAGACTGGGCATCCTAATATTCTTCCTTTAGTATCCTTCATCTCCTTGTCTTATTTGAGTGGATGCTGTTCATTTCTGCATTGTTACTGAGAAGCAGAGAGCAGACCTTTGTTTGATATGGCACATAATGACTATTGTATATTATCAATTACTTATTTTCTTCTTATCAAAATGTTCCCGAAGTTTTAAGATGTTTGCATTTTGATTTCCTATTTTTTTTTTGAGCAATTAGTACAAGACTGATTTTTAGTTTCAATAATACTTTTTTGCAAAAGATTAAAATATCTTGATTAAAAGTAATAAAATAATTTTCATTCTTCTTTTGCTATAGGATTCTGCCTCTGCCTCTGCCTCCACCTCCTCTGCTACCCCCCCTGGCTTCTAACTATCGAACGCCTTACGATGATGCGTACTATTTCTATGGTGCCAGAAACACACTGGATCCCAGTATTGCTTATTGTGAGTTTTCTCTATGCCGGACATATTTTTCTGGTGGGTTAGTAAGGATAAGTGCTTTTATGGAAGCAATAGTATGTGAATGACAAAGGTACAGCTTTATTTAATCCAAGCATTATATACTTACAGTAAGTCCCTGCCTAATATCAAGTCCAGTTTTATTACTTTGATACAATATGTGGGAAGGATATTTTGTGAAGAAAAGAGATTTGTCGGGTGTACATGTGTCTATCTTTGGTCGTTTTCACTCTTCTTGTAAGTTCGCTATGACTTAGTAGTCATGGAGCTACAGCTTCTACTCTCTTAGATTTGTTAGCGTAAGATTTCATGAGTTAAGCTCCTGCATGTGGAGGACAAACCATAGCAATACCCATTTTAAAATCCATCATGGATGGAGGCAGGATCATGTGTTCAAGGCCAACCTGTGCTACTGAGGAAGATCCCAGTCAGCTTGTGTCATACAATGAAAGCTAGTCTGTGAAGAGTCTTTCTCTGTCCTACCAGCTCCCAAATAATGATGCAGAGACCTCTTATTAATTATGAGAACTTGTTCCTAACTAGCTCTTACAACTTAAATTAACCCATTTATAATAATCTATGTTTTATCACTTGGCCATTACCTCTCTTGCATAACCTCACCTTGCATTTCCTGTTTCCTCTCCATGTCTCCTAACATTTCCCCAACCCTAGGTCCCTCCTCTTCTCTCTCCCTGGAAATCCCGCCTATACCTCCTGCCTGGCTATTGGCCATTCAACTCTTTCTTAACACCAACCACACATGTACAGATATATCACACACCACCAATCTTAAAACCAAAATAAAACTAATTGTGTTCGTAGTTATTGGCCATTCAACTCTTTCTTAACACCAACCACACATGTACAGATATATCACACACCACCAATCTTAAAACCAAAATAAAACTAATTGTGTTCGTAGTTATTGGCCATTCAACTCTTTCTTAACACCAACCACACATGTACAGATATATCACACACCACCAATCTTAAAACCAAAATAAAACTAATTGTGTTCGTAGTTATTGGCCATTCAACTCTTTCTTAACACCAACCACACATGTACAGATATATCACACACCACCAATCTTAAAACCAAAATAAAACTAATTGTATTCGTAGTTATTTCCTTTTTACTCAGAGCTAATAAGTAATTGTTATATGTTTTTCTGTGTGCTTTTGCTAACTCTTACCCTGGAAGGATATGCTGGTGCTTGGGAAAAGCACTCTGTACATTTTCCTTAGGGATAAAATGTTAGTAATTCTTTGGAAATAAATATTCTTTTTCTCCTTTTCCCCTTAAGATGGTTCAGGAGTGATTGGAGCACAGCCTGCCCCTCATATCTCTGCCCCTCTCACTCACCAAGTAGCACAGCCTGTTGTGTAAGTCTTAAAACAGTTTTGTCTTGTTCCTTGTACTTAAAATAGTGCTAAGATATGCATACTATGAGATATTGTTGCCTAACTGCTGTAAAGAGCACTTGTAGCTTTTAGTGCCTTTCTAACATTATGTAGCCATCTCTGGAATCCTCTCATCGTATAAACTGAGCTCTGTACTGTGAAGTCAGTAATGCAACTCCATTTCCTCTCGTGACATGCCCTGGTAGCCACTGTTTCGTTTCTTGCTCTGGATCCCAGTGCCTCTTGAGGGGTCAGACAGCATTTTCCTGTGGCTGGCTTGTTTCCTTTAGCACAGGTCTTTAGTTTTTATCTGTGTTATAACTTCTGTTAGAAATTTCAATGCTGAATAATAGTACATTGTGTGCTTACACCATTAGTTTTACTTACTCGTTTATCCATTGGTGGACATTGGAGTTGTTTTATCATTTTAGTTGTAAATATGCCACTATTAGAATCACGTCTAAGTATCTTTCCAAGTTCTTACGTCTATACACCCAAAAATGTAATTATTAGGTCACATGGTAATTATTTTACAGTATTTTGGAGGTACTGCCATGTGATTTTCCCAATGATTTGTATACTCTTTGCCGCCCACTACCAGTGTATAGAAGCTCTCATCTCTCAGCAGGCCCCTCACCAGTTGCTATTCCCTGACTCGCTCCTCTGGTGTGATGTGCTATTTGATTGTGTGTCCATGCTTGTGGGTGCATGCTGGTGGAGGTCAACACAGATACTATTCCTCAGGACCTCCTCAGCTTGTCTTTTGAGGCTAGGACCTATTAGGGAGGCAGCCTGGCTGGTGAGCTCTAGGCGTCTTTCTGCCGCTGCTACCCCCCCCCCCCCGCTGATGTTATAGTTGTGCTCCAACACACAGCTTTTTGTGTGGGTGTTGGGGATCAGATGCCAGTCCTTGTGATCATACGGTGTCTTAGTTTACTTTTTCTTATTGCTGTGAAAAATGCCCTTAAGGGAGGGAGGGCTTATTGTGGCTTTTAGTTCTTCACGGTGGGGAGGGGAGGGTATGGCAGCAGGCAAGGAACGCATCGGGGGTCAGGAGGCTGGCTGCTCATGTTGTGTCCACATCCATGAAGCAGAGAGCGCGTAATATTGTGCTCAGTTCAGAGCTTGTGCTCAGCTCAGAGGATGCTACCTTCCACAGTGAGGGGCAGGCTTTCTGGCCTCAGTTTACTTAGTCAAGCCCATAGGCCTGTCCAGATCTCACCACACTAGGCAAGCACATTATTGGGGGAGCTGTCTCCTCATCCAGTCACTGTAGTGTCTTTCCTTCCCCTTCTCAATGCTAGGGATTGAATGCAGGTCCTTAGAGATGTGTTGCAAACATTCTGTTACTGATCCTCACTTCCAGTCCTCGGGGTAGTTGGGATTTGCATTTCCTTACTGATTTAGTGATGTTGAGCATATTTTCACATGCTGTTTGTATCTTCTTTAGAGAAATGTTTATTAATCATTTGTGGTTGGATTGTAGTCTTTTTATATTATGGATATTAAAGCATTTGTGGGTTGCCTTTTTATTATATTGATACTGTCTTTTTAGTTTTTATTTTATTTGTGTATGTGTGTGTGGTGCGTGTGTGAGTGTGCATACCCACAGAGGTGTCCACAGGGGAAGCCGTTTTAGATAGTAGGTGGTTGTGAGTGCTGGGAATCAAGCCTGTGTCATTACTTCTTAGCTAAAGATACAGATTGAATAAATTTAAGTTTCATGTCTTAAAAGCAGAGATGGGAGTTTTTATGAAGGGAGTCATTACTTCTTAGCTAAAGATACAGATTGAATAAATTTAAGTTTCATGTCTTAAAAGCAGAGATGGGAGTTTTTATGAAGGAGTCATTTAATTAAGGATTTCTTTGTCTTTAAAACTTTGCCTTTTTTTTTTTTAACTTTGGTGAATGTGTGTGTGCATGTGCACAATATACCATGGCGTGCCTTTGGAGGCCGAGGGCAGTTTCCAGGAGGTGTTTCTTTGTGCCATGTCTGAGCTTGGAAGAGTAGGTGCCGTACCTGCTGACTCATCTTACTAGCTGTCTTCTTAAAGATGGTTTTATATGCTCGGCAGTTTCAAAGAATTGTTTTTCTTCTAAAATTTGCTTGTTCTTCCAATAAATTGATTCAAATTATTTATTTGATGCTAGGGATACTGTTGGGCAGAATGACCAGAAAATTTTAAGTGATCGGCTGATGAATCCAGGACTGATCTTTGAAGATAAACCAAAACCTTCCAAACAGTCACTTCAGTCTTACCAAGAAGCTTTGCAAGAGCAGGTACTCACTCGTCCGTTCCTTTATTCATTTGGTGGTGGCTGACTCAGACCTTAGGGGAAAACAGTGACAGGCAACACAGTAAGCTTTGAACGCTGTAAGAAATGGCAGTCTTGTCTGGGATAGTTAGGACTTCATGTTAGTTCATAGGTGTTCTTGGTATGTGTCAGGGAGCTTTATTCACTTTAATTTTGCATTTTCCTGTGTCTGCTCCTAGGGAGCTGCTTACTTATGTGATGTGTGTATGGTTCTTGACTTCTACCTTGTGGTTTTTTGGGATCAGACTCAGGTAGTCAGGGTTGGTAGCAGTTTACTTGACCTTCAGAGCCATCATGCTGGCTCTAGAGAAACGTATAGTGAACTTTTACCAGTTGGGTTCAGCGAGGAGGTACTAAGGCTCTGAACCATGGGGAGAAAGCAAGGATGTCTGAGAGACACTTCTCCAGTCTCTCATGCATAAGGCACGAACCAATAGGGAATACATTAGTGGAAACTTGGAACACACTGGCTTCTCTTGTTGTTTATATTAAAGAACAGTTGCCTAGAGTTGGTGAGAGTGTCCCAGGGGCAAGATTCAAGGTGTAGCTCCACATTATAAAGAATGGTTTTGTTGTTTTGTTTGCTTGAGATAGGGTTCATATGTAGCAGACTGGCCTTGAACTCATTCTGTGGCGAAAAAAGGATGGCCTTGCAATCGATGTCCTCCTGCTTCCTTCCTCCTCCTTGGTGCTGCCCTTTTTACGTGTTGCAGAGGTAGATTAGGACTTTCTAGGCAAGGGCTCCATGCTCCTAGTCCCTGGGGTGGGTAGAGTGGCTGGTGACATCAGAGGGAGCGGCTGACAGGCAGGTGGGTCTTCCTGGAGAGTCTGGTCCCTGCTAGGGGATCTGGGTCAGCACCCCCTTGGCTCTCGAGCAGCACAGTGGGGCTGGTATGGGGGTTGGGTGAGGGCTTTTCCTTGAAGTTCCAGGTCAGACTGTTGCTTTCCTAGATTAGCATTCTTATTTGTGATTCTTAACTTTGTAGTGAAGAAGTGTACTTAAAAAAATATCTATTTTTTTTAACCAGAAAAATTAAAAGTAATATTGCTAGCCTCTTGTTTCAACCTCCTATAAGAGAGTATTTATTTTAAGCATATCTTATGTTGTCAAGATTCGGGAAAGAGAAGCAAGAAGGAAGAAAGAACGTTTAGAAAAAGAAGAATACGAAGCTAAACTGGAAGCGGAAATGAGAATTTACAGCCCCTGGGGGAAGGGCGGAGGCGGTGCTCCCCTCAGAGATGCCAAAGGGAACCTGATAAGTATGCTGTGTCTGTGAACTTGCTTTTAAATGCGTTACTTGCAGGGTTGTAAGAGTGGAGAATAGAAAGAAGTGGCGATCAGACTATATAACAAGGCTTTATTTTATGGTTTAATGCAAAGATGCTCTCCTGATTATGAGTAAAATAGCTGTTACAAAGCCTTTTTTCTGCAGAATAATACACTTGCCATTTTCTGGTGATAGTCACCAAACTGCAAAGAATAATTTATGTTAGTTGGTGCTTGTCCAGACTAGTATCGTACAGTGTATGGTATAATATATATATATATTATATATATATAATATATATACATCTATTTATCGTATAGTATAATGTATCAGAGTATACTTTTTTTACTGATAGTATTAAATTCTTATTGCAAGTTTATTTTAGACTAATAAAATTTACAAATAAATAACTGGAGTAATTGTGGGAAGGGATCTGCTTTAATTCATGTGTGGAGTAAATTTGTTCAATATGTGACTTCTTTTGAGCTGGGGGCGTCTTGACTTCAGAAATTTTGGAAGGTTGCAGAGTTGTAATCCTTCAGTTATGTGTGTTTATTTACCTTTGTGTGTGTGTGTGTGTGTGTGTGTGTGTGTGTGTGTGTTTGATTGGTGTGGTGGTGCAAACCTTTAATCCTAGCACAGGTGGATCTCTGTGAGTTAGAGATAGCCTGCCTGGTCTACATAGCAAATGCCAGGTCAGCCAGAGCTATATAGTGTAACCCTGCATCTTAAAGGTAAATACATAAATAAATGGCTACTACATAAGCATTGTTACCTAATTAGCATTGTTACCTAATTGAGATAGTTTTTTGGTAACTGGAATAAAAGTATTAAGTAGAATAAAAGTAGAGTAAAGATAGTGTAGGGTTTAGTAGTTGACATAAGGCCTAAGGAGAGGGCCCATTAAGATGCTAAAAGTGGTGTTAGAATAATGTAGAACTTAACATTCTCATAGGTTTCTACGACTAGAATTCTTGTTGCCTTCTCCTAATAGATGAGGTTACTTTAAATGTTGTACAGGTGGACAATTCTTATTTGAAGTATGTATTTGAATATGTTAGGAAAACAATTTTCATTTATTTACTCGTGATACTATAATAGTCCGGGCATGTCTCATGGGCTCCTGCAGTGCGAGTGTCTTTCCCTTGTCTGTTCAATTCTGATTTTGGTTGCTCCTTCTCCAAGAGAGGAGACTTCTTCCATTGAGCTTCTGCTCTATTTTAGAATCTCCTCCTTCTTGGCTGTACTGTGTGGGTCCAGGAGTAGTGAGGGTGAGTGCAGAATCTTGTTTGTCCTAGACTGGAATCATCATCTCTGCCTTCATTCTGCTGTCCCGGCTACCCACAAGAGTAGTCATGAGTCGTCAGAAATAGCCTAGCTACCTCGGAGGAGGCCCCGTCAGACATGGGGACAGTGATCCTAGAACTTTCAAGGAGGCCTAACGCAATATAATTATGGGATAACTTTGTAGTGAAGTGTGTATTCTTGAGTTAGAATCACTGCTTTAGAATTGCTTACCCTGGAGAAAATGAAGACTGTGTCTCTGAGGTTTCTATTTTAAGTAATAATGTTTAGTCTACTACTTGTTGTGATCATCACACCTTGAAAGTTCTAGGATCACTCTGTCCTCATGTCTGATGGGGCCTCCCAACGGTGTGCTCTTTCAAGATTGCTTTGACAATTTTACCATTAGTTGGTCATCTTATCCAAGCATAGTATGATTTGCTTTGGGGTCTATGGCCCCACAGGTAATTTTGATAATAGGCATCATCTTAATAGTGTTGACTCTTATGATGTCCTAGTGTGTGCTCTCTACCCTGACTGCTGATGTCCTAGTGTGTGCTGTCTGTCCTGACTGCTGATGTCCTAGTGTGTGCTGTCTGTCCTGACTGCTGATGTCCTAGTGTGTGCTGTCTGTCCTGACTGCTGATGTCCTAGTGTGTGCTGTCTACCCTGACTGCTGATGTCCTAGTGTGTGCTGTCTGTCCTGACTGCTGATGTCCTAGTGTGTGCTGTCTATCCTGACTGCTGATGTCCTAGTGTGTGCTGTCTACCCTGACTGCTGATGTCCTAGTGTGTGCTGTCTGTCCTGACTGCTGATGTCCTAGTGTGTACTGTCTATTCACTGACTGTGTTTAGTTAGTTTCTCTTATCAGAATTTCATAGTTTTGAATATCAAATCCTGTACATATTTTGCCAGTTGTACCATTGAGTTTTTCATATTTTGATGTTATTAGATGCTATTTTAAAAATTGCCTTTTTTTTTTTTTGAGAGAGAGAGTGTGTACCTGTGTGTGTGTGTTCAGTGTGCGTGGGTGCACATGTGTGTACCTGTGTGTAGAGGCTAGATATTGACATTTGGAGTTTTCTTTATTATTCTCCACATTTTCACTGAGGCAAGGTTGAACCCAGAGCTCACAGGTATGGCTAGTATCAAAAGCTAAGCCCGTGTGTGATGGACTCCGGCTGTCAGGCTTGTGTGACAGTAGGGATATATCTTGTTGGCACATTTTCCTATTTGTTTACAATGAACCTCTTATCCATTTTCTAAGCCCAAGATGGCCTTAATGTAATTTGAGGATGTAAACCGTCGTTATTCTGAGCTTTGCTCTCCTGTGTATGTTTACAAGGTATTTGGACTGTTCTGTATGGTATTCTAAATATGAGTCACTTTTAAAATATCTCCTTGAATATAATGTTCTTCCTAGTAGATAGTTCTTACATATGTGTTTAAGTTCACTTTTACTGTTATTAACCTAGTGATTTGGAAGGAGGAGGTGGACAGGTATATATGATTTATGTAAACATACAAGTCTGCTTCCGAGTCTGGTGGTTTGACCTAGTTTGCACATGCCAGACACTCCACCAATTGAACTAAGTATTATATTAGCTACTTAGCAGACACAGCAAGTCTACTGCCAGGTAATATACCATCTTGGGTAATGTTTCATAATAAGAAATGCATACTACTTTGTGCTTCTAAAAATCTTCACATAGTGATTTTCTTTTTTTGAGTGGTTGTTTTTTTCCTAGTTGTTTCTGTTTGATGGTTTAGCCTGAGGTTATAGTATAAGACGTGTCCACCATGGCTTCCATGTGCTTCAGTTTCTTATCTTTAGGTCTCTCCATAGTGCCCTTCAGCCAGTGTGATAGGCAGTTGGTTCCCATGCAGTGAGGCAATCAGTGATGAAAGAGGGTCATGCCTCTTGTGGAGCAGCCCTGAAGCCTGAAGCCATGTATCGTGTCCTGGTAGTGGTCTAGTATCACGTGAGCGAATGCACAGACCGCAGAAATGAAGAAAGAAACTTGGGTTCCGCATTTTGAGGAAGGGCTGCTAAAAGACTTTGTGGGTGCTCTTGAACACTCCATGCGAACACGCTGTTTTGTTGTTTGCTTTTAGGGGAGCTGATTTTTGGGGGGAGATTGCACTCTGACTTATTTTGAGTTTTGCTATGTTTGTTCTATACTAAAGAAATTCTGATTTCTGAACTGACTGGGCATATTAATATGGCTTGATAGCACGTCAAAGTTTTATGTCTCTTTAATTTCAGTACTAATTTTGAGTTGACTTCACAGTCTCTTTAGTGTTTGTAGTGACGGTGTTCCAGAGATGCAGCCACCATCTAGCCACTCCCAGTGCTGTCCTGTTTTAACCTCTGATTGCTTGTTTTTAAATGTATTAAGTTTAAGAGTAATTATAGAAATGTGTTTATTGAAATAAATGGATTATTTTTCCCTCTCAGCTGATTTGAATAAGATGCACAGACAGAATATAGATGCCTACCATAACCCAGATGCAAGAACGTATGAAGATAAAAGGGCTGTTGTAGCTGTAGACCAAAAGTTAGCCACTTCAAGTGCTGAGAACCTAGAAGATTCTGCAGATAAAAACGCAGGTTTTTAATCACATTCTATACTAAAAACATTTCTAATGCTCTTCGGTAACATGTCACTTCTGTTCTTTGATAAACTTCTTACTGTAATTTTGAGAATTTGGTACTGTGAATTGGGGTGCATAGAGTATTTTCTTTCTTTAATGTAGTTACTTTGAAAAAAGTAAATAAGGAAAGGTTGTGCTTATCAGTGGGTGTTTCTTCCCAGCTCTGTAACTTGCTGTGTGTATGTAGCTGTTGCTAACATTTTTCTTTCTTCACCTAAGGGTCTTTCTGTGCACATATATGCAGTTTGCTTCTCCTCCCATGTCTGCACCAGTGAGAAAGTATTTGATGTGTTATGATAAATTATGCAAGAAATCAGTGTTTTAAGTGATCACTTACCTTCCACATTGTACAGAAAATGAAGTGACTGGAAGTTTATTGTCAGATCCCATCTCTGTTGATGGGCAAAGCTGATGAACCATTAAGCATCATCCTTACCCAAGTCTCTGTAAGCTGAAACTAATCAGTGTCTTTTTTAATGGCTTGCTGGGAAAAGTTGGCACCATCCTTCTTTACCATATATGTATGTGCCATAATTTAACAATCAAAGTATGTAAAAAGTATGCATCTCACGCTGGGTATCGATGCTGATAAAATGCTGCTTTTGCACTTTAATAGTTTTTTATTGGGGTTTTGATTTTGCTTATAACCTTTCGTAGAAGTTTTCATTATAGGAAAAAATGTTACAATAAGAAGTTCTTCTGAAATATTCCTAACTAATCATGCACTCATAAGACTTACTGGTGATCCATGCAGGGCCATGGGGAGCTGCGATGGTGATCACATTACTGGGTCTGGGTGCGGCCATCAATTTGAAGAGGGTTGTTTGCAGTTTTTGTAGACAACTGCATTCATTGTTTGCACTGCTGTTATGTGGAAGAGCATTTTTTGTTTGTTTGTTTCTTTTCTTCTTCTTTTTATTATTATTATTATTATATTTGGGGGGTGTGGTTTTTCCAGATGGGGTTTCTCTGTGTAGCCCTGACCGTCCTAGAACCCCATCTGGCCTCTAACTCACAGAGATCCTCCTGCCTCTGCTTCCCAAGTGCTGGGATTAAAGGCGTGCACCACCACCGCCTGGCTCACAGTAGATTTTTACTGTTTCCACCTAGTTTCAACTTTTAGAACTCAAGAATTGGAACCTTTTATTTTGATAAAAGTATTTTTTCTTAATCTGCAATAGTTCAGTGTGGAGAAGGAGCAGCAAATACTTTTTCATCTTACGGTTGCTAGGAGAGAATTGTAGCTCCTGTGTGCATTGCTGCTCTTCATGGCTGGCTGCTTCTGGGAATCTTTTTCTCCGGGTCTCTCCATCTCTTCATGTAGGATAGTGCTTGTAGCTCTACAGAAACTCAGTAGTCACACCTTCTTGGGCATGAGCTTTCTAGGACAGACACTGGGAAATAAACAATTTCTGTGACCCCCTTCCCAAGAGAATAAGCCTGATGGAACAGGCCCAGCAAATTCTGACCTGTGTACTTTTTCTGTAGTATGCCAGGTTTTCCTCTCGGGGGTGCTAGTGATACTTTATCTTCAAGACTTTAAAACTATCATAAGATGTTTAGTTTCCTCATTTTATTTGACTTGAAATTTCCCAGACTTTCTTTCCCTAAGACCTAACCTGAGCTAAACTTTGTAAATGTAAGAAAGTATGTCATGTGCGCTATGTCATATATATGAACACGTGTGCTTATGTGTATGTATGCATGTGTGTGTACACACAGGCACATAGCTTACATATATATGTGCTGCTTGATATTTTTAAAAGGCTTTGGGGAACTTGGTTATATCTGAAAATTTTCCTAATTTACGCTTTTAAGCTTCATTGTCCTCTGATGTTTTGTCCCAATTGGGCTTCTCTGGGTTGCTCTTTTGCTATTTTTAGGCAGGGTCTCAATATGTAGTCCTGCTTGGCCTGGAACTCACTGTGTCACCAGGCTGGACTTACACTCAGGGATCTGCCAGCCTCTGCCTCTCTAGTGCTGGGATCACAGGTGTGTGCCACTGCTCCTAGCCTCGTGAGGCCTGGTTGCCAGTCCTTCATGATGGTCTTTTTTTGGCACAAGTTGAGATGGATCTCACTGTGAGGCCAGAGCCTCTCCCATGCTGGGATTATAGGTGGGTACCACCCTGCCTGCATCACGCTGTTAATATTCTTCCACTTTATCTTTCTTCAGTGAATGGCTGGGAACGCCAGTACTGATGCAGCTACAGTTGGTTTTTTGTTTTTTTTGTGGTTACCATGGTAGCCAGTTACACATCTGTTTTCTAATAATACTTGCTCTCTATACTTTGAAGGAAATTTTTTGCAACAGATTACATCTAATATTTCTTTTTTTTAATTGTCACAAAAATTTAAGTTTTGAAGGAAATTAAGGTAGAGGGTAGCACTCATATTTATTTTACTATCAGCTTTCTATGGTGCCCAAGATTTAAAAGAACCTTCGTAGTCTCAGTTTGCTTTCAGTAGAAGTTTTTTTTTTTTTTTTGGGGGGGGGCGGGGAGTTCTCATGATGTTCAGGGCTTGATTTGACTTTCTGTTAATCCACTCAACTAAATGTTGGTGAATTTAAACACAAAGGCAAACTAGTTTCCATAAAGTAACACCAATAAGGGAGGCAAATAAACGGAATCGATAGTCATAAAAATGAATTAATAAGCATGATGGCATATGCTTGGAATCTCCATCTTAGGAGGCAGAGGCAGGAGGATTGGTGCAGGTTTGAGGCCGGCCTGGTCTACACAGTGAGTTTCGGATCAGTCACAGATACATAGTAAGTCCCAATCAAGCAAAAAGAATAAATCAGCAATTTAACAATAGTATATAAAAAATGTGAGACTTCAATTAAATGCCATATTTTTTATTTTTGTATTCAAAGAGATTCCTAGGGAATGATTGTTTTTCAAATAGCTTTCCTGAAATAAGTTCCCTTCGAGAATATATAATGCTATTTATAAGGAATATATACGACAATACACTATTGTTACATTTATATCCCTTTGAAAAACGTTGTTTGTACTACAGATAACAAGGCCTGTGCATGTCAGGAAAGCCTTGAACTCAGTAGCTGTAGAAGTAAAACCTATAGCTGACGGTATAGCCTGTATTTAAGAATTCTGGATATGAAGAATTCTGGATTTCTGGAAATTTTTGATATGCATATAGAGTACTATCTATTCCCCCATCCTTTCTTCCCTCCCAAGCCCTGGGGATTGAACCCAGAGCCTTACACATGCTAAGCAGATGCCTTGCCCTGAGCTATTTCTCCAGCCCTAAGAACTGTTAAGTGGCTGGCTACTCATGTACGTTTTCCATCATGAGCTTCACCTGTGCTCCATGTTATTCTGTTATCTTGCACATGCCCTGGGTGTCTTGCCGCTGCTGCACACGGAGTTTGACTGCTCACTTTGATTTTGTGTTTGCTTTCTCTTGCTGCCCTCCATTCTTCTCCGCCTCTGACCTTAACCCCGGGACTTCTGTGTGTTGTCCTGTTTTCATAGCATGGGTTTATTGGCACATTGTTCCTTTCCTAACAGTATGTCTTTTCGAACCCTCTTTTGAAGGTCCTGTTCAAACACAGAACTCTCCTTTTGCCCGAGGAAACACATTCGGTGAGCCACTCACTGAGCTTCAGATTAAACAGCAAGAATTATACAAGAATTTCCTTCGTTTTCAGGTGAAAGGTTTGTTTAACTTACAGCTCCAACTCAGTAATAAATATGACAATGAACTAAATTTGCAGGTGTTTTATCCACTGTGCTCTACATTCTAAAATGCCCTGCAGTTATCCTAAATGTCTAGTTTGTATCAGGTACAGCTATTGCTAACATCACATTGTTCCACTCACGTTCAGTCTTTCTAAACCTCATTAGAGGATCAGTAGTTTTCCAGTCAGTAATGTGAGATTTGTAAAATTCACTTACCGATATAGAGTGAATCTTTTTATATGCTCATTAGAGTAGGAAATGAGGCTCAGTCTGGCTTGTAAGTAACCAGAAGTTGTATTTCAGCTGAGTGTGTGGGGTCTGCATTGATTTTAGCACCAAGACTAATAAGCAGGAGTACTGAGAAGCCAGTCAGGGTTATATGAAAAAGACTGTCTCAGGAAACAAAACAAAACAGATTTCCACGTAATATAATGGCATTTTGCAATTATATGCCTCCTTTTGAATGCAGGCAGGGAGCATTTAAAGTAGTGAAATGTTCAGACTATTCCCAAAGAAGGTTCCGAAGCATCTAGTGTTTACTGACCAGTGAGCCTGGGGAATCCACAGTATTGGTTTAGTGCTGAGTATTACAACCTCAGTGACTGAGGTGTCTGCTCATAAGGGACTCACTCAGGGTTTCTTTCTCTCCCTCCCTTCCCTCCATACCTACACAGTTAAATCTCAGAGTGCCTGATAAAATTTCCTTTGGTATACTTTTTTTTTTTTTTTAACATGATGTTACATTTTACTCTTTGCTTACAGAAAATGTGTAGACCCCTTAGCTTGACATTTAAGGCTTCTGATCTGATCCCAGTCTGCCAGTCACGTCCTAATAGGGTCCCACTTGAACAGTTCTGCTCTGAGGTGCTGTGGACTCTCCATGGAACAGTGTCATAATGAAGCTACGTAGACTTAAGAAGGATGTGTCAGTTGAGGATGGGTAGACCAGAAGACTTAAGAAGGACCTGTCAGTTGAGGATGGGTAGACCAGAAGACTGGCTGTTTTCCTAGCACAGTGATAGTGATGTGTGGAAGTGATTTGCAGAGATTATGACAGGTATCAGCAGCCTCACAGATACCAGACCCTCCCTCAGGGTTAGGGTTGAGGGTGGTGCCATATCAGCTGCTGAACTTGAAAGAGCTTGTGGTTCCATTACCGTGACAACAGCAAGTCAAAATGTAAGTTTATTTCATTTAGTACATTTTACAACAGAGTAAGTATCAAATGTTACAGATGTTTAAATACTTTTACATGGTAGTATCTTATTAGACTTTAGACTTTCTAGAGAAAGTCTCTATTTTAGGAGTGAACACAGCTAACCCCCCCCCCCCCCCCCCCGTAAGTCCTCAGTTCATTTATGAATAGATTACTCTTGAATGGTGATTTTTCAGTTGTTTTTCTTAGTGGTCACAAAATCTATCTTGTCTTCAGTCAAGATTAACACAGAATTGTAAGAAAATGCAAAATAGCTAAATGGTGTTTCTTTTTACTATCAACAATATCTTACAAGACAAAAAAATGTAAAACTTAAGAATTGAAGTGTGTGTTTTAGAGTGTGCAAATTTGTTCATGGCCGTGAGAAAATAAGGTTTAGCCAAGGATTTGCACAAACAAGTAATAGTTAATGCATTAGAAGCCTTGATGCTGTTCAGACCGCATAAATAACATTTGTGGGTGGTTTTCAAGAATAACTTTAAAAAAATTAGTTTAACATTTTTTAATAATTCAATCAAAAATTAATACAAAATTGGCACATTTTATTAAAGTGCTTTTGTGTTACAGACTTTGAAAACTGACCTAGAAGATACTTTTCTCTTTTTCAACAATTCTTAGCCTGCCTATTGGCATAGATGTATGGTCTGTAAGTGCCTTACATGGTGGCAGCTTTTGATTTTGATGTATCAGTTATCCTCTAATTTTTTTTCTTGGAAGAGGAAGAAGAAAGAAGGAGAAGTAAGGTTGTCCTTGTGAGGTTTGCATAGTGCTTGGTACTGAGTGTTAGGTCACACATTTCCATGTGTCACAGTAAGTGACAGGAAAGGCCGTAGTTGGTCACTCATAGTTCATACTCTCATTATGTAAAATGCTGACAATGAGCAGTCTTAACGCCACAGGAAATTCAGATTGCATAAAAATACTTTGTGCTTAAAAATGTACACTCCAGAGTGACACCTTTAGGAGACACAGTCCCACAGTAAACTTAGTGTTCCTCTTGGTCTTACAATCTTTCTGAGATTACCCTGAGTCAGTACGGCTGCCTGAGCATGAGCTGCTACCACAGAAGGGCAGGGTCTCAAGGGTCCTCAGCCCTGGACAGAGAACTAGGGCAATCTGAGTGTTGAGAGCAGAAACAGTCTTCTCAGGGAAGACCTGCCAGTTGCTTATCCAATGCTGGGAGGCCAGCCCTGAAATCCTACACATAAGACATCATATGATGTATGTGTGTGTGCGTGCACATATATATTATATCTATCTATAATAATATAGTTTATTATGTGTTACGATTTGAAAGAGAGCAAGGGGGGATGGAGGGAGGAAAAGGAAGGTGTTATAATTGTATTTTAATTTCAAAAAATTAAAAAGTAATTATCAAAGATCGATAAACAATGTTAAGAATCATAATCTGAAAGATTATAAACTTGTTGATAGCCTTAGGGTAATCGTAAGTATCCAGCACCAGCTGGGCTGTAATCCTTGCTCTTGAAGGGCTAAGGCAGGAGGTTCACCCTAAGTTTGAGGCCATCTTGGGCTTACTTAGGGACCTCAAGGCCAACCTCGGAGTGAGACCTTTTCTTTCAACACCACCAGAAAATTTAGGGTTTTTTTTTTTTTTTTTTTTAAACTTGTTGTGCCATCCTTCCTGCCTCATGCATAGAAGATACAGACTGTTTCCCAGGGCTTCCTTCCATTCAGGTCTGCTGTAGCCCTATTTACTCCCTGTGTTCTCAGAGGAGTGTCCAAGGTAAATGTCACGCTGGCTCCTGTACCTGTCCACACCCTCTGCATACTCCTGGGACAGAGCCAGGACCTGTGTGTGCTGGGCACAGGCTCTTCTCCTGAGTTGTTCCCAACACTGAGCTTTCAGTTCTTAAGCTGACAGGAGGGTGCAGAGCATTGTGAGGGAATGTTCTTTCATAAAAAGGCTAAGACACTCAGCTCTTGTGTGGGAACTCTCTCCAAGTCCAAGTACATTGAGATACAATGGTGATCGTAGAATAACACAGCCACAGACGTTTACTCAGCGCCTTTTATACGGGAAGAACCAGTCTGCTAGCTCTTCACATTGTTAGAGGTGAACTTTAAAACTGGATGGGAAAGTCGAGGACAGGTCCTTTCCTGAGGTCACACAGTCCGTATTAAGCGGACACGCCAATTGACTAGCAGCTTTGAGCAGTGTCGTGTAAAACACAGGGCACCCACAAGTGGAGGAACCTGCACACAGATGTGTACTTTTGAGTCTGTACGAATCCAGGAAAAAGTGATCTCTAACTTGTCCGTAGTTTGTCAGAGTTGTAACTAATCCTCATTCTTCAGATTGAGGAGAAGAAACAAAGAGAAGAGGCAGAGCGTGAGAGACTGAGGATTGCAGAAGAGAAGGAAGAAAAACGGCTGGCGGAGCAGAGGGCAAGGATTCAGCAAGAGTACGAGGAGGAGCAGGAGAGGAGGAGGGAGAAGGAGGAGGAGGTGCGCCCAAGGGGGAGGAGGAGGAGGTGCGCCCAAGGGGGAGGAGGAGGAGCAGGAGAGGAGGAGGGAGAAGGAGGAGGAGCAGGAGAGGAGGAGGGAGAAGGAGGAGGAGGTGCGCCCAAGGGGGAGGAGGAGGAGCAGGAGAGGAGGAGGGAGAAGGAGGAGCAGGAGAGGAGGAGGGAGAAGGAGGAGGAGGTGCGCCCAAGGGGAAGGAGGAGGAGGTGCGCCCAAGGGGGAGGAGGAGGAGCAGGAGAGGAGGAGGGAGAAGGAGGAGGAGGTGCGCCCAAGGGGGAGGAGGAGGAGCAGGAGAGGAGGAGGGAGAAGGAGGAGGAGGTGCGCCCAAGGGGGAGGAGGAGGAGGTGCGCCCAAGGGGGAGGGCTCCCTTATGCTGACCTGAGAAGCTTTCGCTATTGCATGGGAGGGCTGCTACCCTGACAGCCATCTTCAAAGCACATTATTTTATTGGGATTGGTTACTAATTTAAGCAAGAGACAAATTGTTTAACTTTAGACTGGTAAAAGATGTCTACTACTTTATTAAGTAGAGAGTATCATCATTTTGTAGAACATCGTATCTTTTATATATTCCGTTTTTTTACTTTTGGCTAAATAAAGTAACACATTTTAAAATGTACTGGAAAGGTATGCAAAAAGTGTGTCTTTTTAAATTTTAAAGCAAAGGCTAAAAAACGAAGAACTCATTCGGTTAGCCGAAGAGAGACGAAAAGAAGCGGAAAGAAAGAAGAAAGAAGAGGAAGAAAAACATAACTTGCAACTTCAGCACTACTATGAGAGAGAAAATATGATTGGAGATGAAACAAAGGTATGTTTCAGACACTGTCAGGCCCTTCCTGCTGGTAAGGGGAACGAGGAGGCTGCCGTCTTCCCTGGCCTTGCAACCCAGGGCCGACCTGACCTTCATGTGTGAGCTGCGGTCACAGTTGGGATCCTGGGCCTAAGATTGGCTGTTCTCAGTCTTGTTATTGTGGCCCTGTGATCACTGTGCTGCCTAACATGACCAGAACAACATGGGCCGTGGGCTCTGGGTACACAGATCCTCATCAGATAAATACACTAACAAAAACATCGGGCTTGGATTTCCTTTATCTAGTGATTCATTAAATAAACTGTAATTCACCAGAGACTGCTTTTACATCCCTATTTCTGATGCACAGGGCCAATGTTAAGAGTTGGAAGATGCATCACAATTATTGAATAGGACTCTCTTCTCCAGACACCTAATTGGATAACTTGAGTGTTTTCTAAAAAATGTTTTATTAAAAGCAGTAATATTCTGAACTTAAGTGGTCTCGACTATTGAATATGTAGTTTGTGTGTGTATATATGAGTGCAAAAACTTTTTTTTTTTTTTTTTTTTTTTTTTTTTTTGCAGCATTTAAGACAGCCTTCTCCTGTAGTCCCTGCTCTTCAGAACAAAATTGCAAGCAAACTCCAAAGACCTCCTTCAGTCGACACCATCATAAGCTCCTTCATTCATGTATATACTTTATGAGATTTCTTACTGTTTGCTTTAGTTTGCCTATTGCTAGAGTTGTAACTGTTAGCGCTTAGTGTTCTGGAGCTTTATTCTTATAGTCAGAATCAAGCCATAGTTAATAAGCCATAGTCTGTTAAAGCAAATGACATTTATTTGTCTCAGCTCCTTAAGAAAGTCCTTTTGGTTCTTTTGTTGTTGGTTTCATTTGTTTGTTTTGACACAGGGTTGTATTCTGTAGCCTGGCTGTTCTGGAATTTGCTATATAGACTAAGCTGGCCTGTAACCCACAGAGATGTGCTTGCTTCTGCCTCCTGAGGGCTGGGATAAAGTTGTTTGCCACCACACCCGCCTGGCTAAGAAAGTCTTGGAAAAAATATGTTCTAACCAGCTGTGGTTACACTTGTGGATTCTCTAACTAGCTGTGGTTACACCTGTGGATTCTCTAACTAGCTGTGGTTACACTTGTGGATTCTCTAACTAGCTGTGGTTACACCTTTGGGTTCTCTAACTAGCTGTGGTTACACTTGTGGATTCTCTAACTAGCTGTGGTTGTATTTGTGGAGTCCCTTATGTTTTAGACTGATCTACAGTCAAAAGGAGGCCAGGAAAGTTGGCCTTTAAGTTGATGCTTGAGCAACCAGCGGGAATTTGCTGTAAAAGAGTGTCTGCAAGCTATGCAGGGTAGGGCAAGCCATGTGGAGAATGTTGTGTGGTTTGGCTTGGCCTGTTTTCCTTGTGGAAAGGCAGCGGGGTGGAGGCTCTGTGCAGGGTGTTGGGGGCGGGTGAAGGCGTTACAGACTTTGACTTACTCCGTGGGCTGTGGATTGCAGCCATGTGAGCTGCCAGAAAAAGCATAGATGTGCATCTTCTCGGATTCTGCTTCTGAGGCTGATTCATACGCTGTGGTGGGAATTGCTTCGGGACCCTTGTAACGTTTAAGGAGAATGGCGGTCTCTTTCCCTTGTGTACGGTTCTCATGGGCAGTGAAGGCAGACGGGATGCTGTTGTGGAAGTCCTGATGTGATGCAGGCACTGAGAAGGAAATATTTCGGTACTTGGGTGTCTGGTGTGGGAAGGTCAAGGGTAATTTTCAGGTTTCTGGTGATGATTGTACAGATGGGTGATTGAAAGTTGAGTTGAGGCCGAGGAAAAGATCTTAGACTGGATTTGTAGTTTGGGAAGCAATTAACATATTGGTGCTTACTAAATTAATGTGATTGTGCAGAGTAAGTATGTGGGGTGTAGTCAAAGGGTTGAGGACAGAAATTTGAGGAAATTCAGGGAGCAGCAGGGGAGAGTTACACGCAGAGTGTCAGGGATATTAGTCACCCGCCAAGGATGGTCAGGATGAAACGGAGTGTGTGATGGCATCACTCTGTCTGGGAAAGGCAGTCCTACTGAAGTGATGGCTATGGAAACAGACTCTAGCTCAGTATCAGGGAGCGAATGGGATGGGTAAGACATGCTTGCTCTTAACTGCTAAGCCAGCCTAGTTGTGAAGGAGGGCACCAGTGAACAGTAACAGTGGATGGTGAGTGAAGGAGGAGGATGCGTGTACATAGGCTGGGAGGAAGGTGCTTACTTGGAAGAGGTTGGAAAAAATGACCAAGCACAGCATCCAGATACAGGACCTATATCGTTGGGCAGAGGCAAGGAGCCTTCCTCTGTACGAAGGAGGAGGGTTAGCTGTAGATGCGGACAAGTTTTACAGAGAGGAGTAGGGAAGGGACACTGACCGTGTCTGTCATTGTTGTTCGCAGGAAAGCTCCTTGTCCAGGGCACAATCTCCCCCAGTACCTGCAAGGAAGAACCAACTCCGTGCGGAAGGTAGCTAGTGCTCCCACGGTGCAGAGGCCGTGCTCCTTTTCAGTCGTCTGAGTAACTGCAGAGCTGTAGAGAATTGCAAACGTGGTGGGGAGACGTGCTGTTACCACGCCCTCCCCATCACATCCTGCAGATTGCAGTGCTACACTCTACACACAGGGCTGTCAGTAGATTTTCACCAATTTTGGTTTTTGTGTTTGTGGCTTTACTTGTTTTTATCATGTGTAATTTGTACAGCCACCCCAACAGTCAGCCCTCAGAGTGCAAACTTGTCATGCTCTTTGAATACTTCCTTGTTGTTGTACACGTAAGAATATCTCCCTGTTTTTATCAAAACTCTGATGGTGGGTCTCAATGATGTCCATTATGATGTGTATCTGTCTACAAATTAAAACACACATACATATCTTTCATAAAATTTCTGTGAGCATTTTACCTTTATGCTAAGCCAAATTGCGTTTCGGTCATTAATCTTTTGCTCTTTAATTTCTTTTGACTTCTCAATGGGAATTTGCAGAGGAGAAAAAAAATGTAATTATGGAGTTATCCGAAATGAGGAAGCAGCTGCGCAGTGAAGAGAGGCGTTTGCAGGGGCAGCTGCTGCACCTGGACAGTGATGACGAGACCCCGCTCAGGTGCTACTACCAAGTCTCCCTGGGATGCCACGGGTTAATCTTAGCCCCACCCCGCCCCGCCCCCTTCTGAAAGCTAGAAGACCTACTTTCTTGAGGGAAATAATGGCATGGGAATGGAAAATTCTAAGGTCAGGATGATTACACATGATAGCAGTTTATGGTTATTTTTATATTTCCCTTCAGCTTTTCTTTTTTTGTTGGACGCTTATTTCCTAGCAAAAGGAAAATAGTCTGAGTTCCCTATGACTAGATCGGGTGAAGAATATTTGTGAGAGCTGGGTGGGGTACTATTCTCCCAGGACATACCATCAAGAGTGTACAAAGCACCTGGCATTGTTCTTGATGCTAACCTTCACCAAATGGTTCCAGCATCGCCAGGTAGCTCCACCAGAAAGCGGCTGTGGTTTACTTGTAAGTCACTAAATCTCGTACACTCCCTTGCAACAATAAAGACAGGCAGATATGGGTTATGTCTTTGTGAACTTGAATTCTAACTCAGGAGTTGGAATTATGAGAAGTTCAATAAGAATCTGTTAAACATTACTGATGGAATTTTTAATGTGTATCATAGAGATATGTAATGTTTGGTTCTTTGTTCTAATTTTATAGAAGTTTCATGAAAATAATTTCTTATTTACTGCATCATCGAGCTCCCCTGTGTCAGGCATGGAACAGATGTGATGCAGATCACATGCAAATGAGATCTAATAAGTGTAAATGAATCAATCATCTTCTTTACTTATCAGTGTCATAGAAACTGATAGGGACCCAATGGAAAAGCCTCTTAGCAGTTTCTTTTGATTGTTTTAATGAGTCTTTGTGGTTTTGCCATCGCCCAAGCAAAACCCCAGCTCTGATTTTTTTTTTTTTTTTTTTTTTTTTTTTTTGGTGGTTTTTCGAGACAGGGTTTCTCTGTGGCTTTGGAGCCTGACCTGGAACTCACTCTGTAGACCAGGCTGGCCTGGAACTCACAGAGATCTGCCTGCCTCTGCCTCCCGAGTGTTGGGATTAAAGGCATGCCCCCCCCCCCAAGCTCTTGTTTATTCTGGAGCCCTGATAGGTGACCATGACCGGGGTTTAGTTACCCCATACTCCCTGTTCCCATGCGGAAGCAGCTTCATGAAGTTTTCATAGTTTTATAGAAGAAAGAGTAATGATCAGAGTAGATTCACAGTGCACTCGGGTACATCAGGGATGTGGGCACAGCAGGATGGGGAGCTTTTTTACAGACCTGAGAGCTATCTGATGTGATTCTTAGGTTCTTGGACTGACAGAAGCTAGTGTTCTGTTAAGTTAATAGATTACAAAAGTTTTTTTTTTTTTTTTTTTATCTATCATTAAAAGATGTTCCACCACAGAGGGAGGCAAGCAATGGCTGTTCCAGAGGGCCAGAACTTAGTCCAAGATAAAGTGGTTAGCCTCTGGACCTGGAACATTCCAAGCCTTCTTGCATAGCCTTGAAATGCCAGTCAGAGGTCAGTCTCTGCAGACAGGGTTCCTTTGTCCTGGTTATGTGGTGGAGATCTGAGCCAGCTTTGACAGAGCCTTGCTGTGGCCCTTCTTAAAAGTTCCCTGAGAGGAAAGGAAACCCATGAGACTCAAGTTTCCTGTCTAATTGCTTATGGCTGCAGCTTAGATTCTGTTTTTTATAAAGAGGGTGGATGCTGGCTTTGGTGACACACACCTTTAATCCCAGTGCTGGGAGGGAGAGGCACGCAGGTCTTTTATGAATGGTTCTAGGCCAGCCAGGGACACAAGAGAGGGGCCCTCTGTCACAAAGGTGGAGGAGAGGCAGGAGAGAGGAGAGAGGGAGAGGAGGGAGTGGGTATACAGTGCTGAAGGAAGCTCAAATTGTTATTTGGTTTTATTTTCAGAACTACAGTTTCCAGTCTCTATCCGTTTTCTTTGGGTGAATGACAACAGCCAAGCTTTAGCTGAACTGCTGAACTACTGTAGCTATCAGGGTGTTGAGGGTTCTGTAGAGTCCGGGTACAGGTCCCTAGGGATGGAGCGGGGCCTTAGCAGTGCTCTGTGTGCAGCTGCTACCGTAGACTGAGGGAGGTAGGCACTGACACCCAGTTCACGTCACAGCTGCCACGCCTGGCACTTCACATTTCATTTCTCTTCCTCACAGCCTGCCTAAAATGGACAGATTCTTACAGATAAAACATTAAAATCAAATTGCTAAAAGGTACATGCCTGATCTTTTGGAGACAGGGTCCCATGTAGCTCAAGGTGACATTAAGTTGTGAGACTGGCCTTGAACTCCAGAACGCTAGGATTGCAGGCAGGTGACACCATGTCCTTTCCAAGTCTTCGGGTTTTAGAATAGGTGATCAACAGAGCAGGCTGTTACAACTTAAGCACTAACTGAGGTAAAAGAGGCCGAGTTGCTTTTACAGTGAATTGAGTGTGTGCTCGTTTCCTACCCATAAGGCTTATCGATCACAATTTGTCATGTATAGGAAGAGAGAAAGGAATCCCATGGACATATTTGACATGGCTAGACATCGGGTACAAGCTCCTGTCAGAAGACCGTCACCGAAGGGAGTGGATGCTACTACTTTTCAGAATATTCATGACTTCAATGAGCTCAAAGAGAGAGGTGAGTGAGCATAAGCTGCCATATTTGCTAGACCCTAGGTGACATCTTGGGGTAGGGCAGGTAGAATCCCATCACACAAGCTTGTTCTTCTGGAACCCCTTTGTAATACTGCCAGATTTATGTAAAATTTTCCATTAAGAAACACTTTTGTGTTCTTTCTTTTTATGTCTGTTGTAATGTTACTAATTGTTTTTTAATGCCGGGACTATAATGTGCTGTGCCAGTGAGCTTTACCCCAGCAAGGTCCAGAGTGTCCATATGCTCCTGCCTCTGCCCATGCATAGCCTTCTCCATTGTGGACACCTGCACCAGAGATGCACCCTGAATGGACATACCACTGTCTCTCATAACCCAGAGGCGCAGCCTGAATGGACATACCATTGTCTCTCATAACCCAGAGGCGCAGCCTGAATGGACATACCATTGTCTCTCATAACCCAGAGGCGCAGCCTGAATGGACATACCATTGTCTCTCATAACCCAGAGGCGTAGCCTGAATGGACATACCATTGTCTCTCATGGTTTGCATTAGGCTTAGTTTTGATGTGCATGTCCTCAGCTAGCATAGCTGTATGATTACATAGACTCACCATTGCAGGGTCATACAGAAGACTTTCACAGCCCTAAAAGTCCTGTAAGTTTCCACAGCTTACTTCATGCAGTGCCACAGTCGATACAGTTGGATTCAGCCTTCTCAGATTGGTGCCTGTCACTCAGAAACACACTCAGTTCTCCCCAGTACCTTTTCATTTTTACCTCCCCCCCCCCTTTTTTTTTTTTCTGAGACAGAATCATATGCTGTAGTCTATGCTGGCCTAGAACTCGCTGTGTAGCCCGAGGGACCCTGAACTGGTAGCAATCTTCCTGTTAGGACTACAGGCAGAAGTTTGATTTAAAACCACAGTCAATCTGTTCATTTTCTTAAGAACATCTTTCGAATTTGTGTACAGATTTTTGTGTCTCAATCACAGTTGAAAGCACAAGGTTTAACTTAGTTGTGTAATTTTGCACCAGATTCAGAAACACGAGTGGATCTGAAGGTAATGTATCCAGACCCTCCACGAGATCATCACACCTTAGAGATCCAGCAGCAGGCCCTGCTACGAGAGCAGCAGAAGAGACTGAACAGAATAAAAATGCAGGAAAGTGTGGGAGGTACGGTGCAGACCCTGCCGCTTCCCACGGTGACAAGGGCGCCTTCTTTCTTTAGCGTGGAAGGGGTTGGCTTTGTATGTTTGTTTAAGAAAGGTTTATGCTTAATTTACGCTCACATGCACGCACACACGTGTATAAATAATTTGGGGGGCCATGCACACAGGTGAAGGAACCCTCAGAGCACAAGGGAGTGGGCTCCCTGAAACTGAAGTTACAGGTAGTTGGGAGCCTCTAGGTAGGTGCTAGGAACCAACTCTTGTCCTGTAATATCAGTGAGTCTTCCTGTCTGCCTTTTTTTTGAAGATAGTCTTCTTTCTCTATTCTTGACTGGCCTAGAATTCACTGCATAGACCAGATGAACTTGGAGCAGTCATCCTGCCTCTGCTTCCTGAGTACAAGTGGTATGGGCCTGTGCTACTTTGTCCAGTCTTTTCAGCTTTTTAGCATCTCTTGAATTTATTTTAATTGCAGGCAGACCATTGCACTGGTAGCTCCATGCTTATGGGAGCTTTTTGATATACTTTTGGGAAGGAGAACATTCCACAGCACATTCTGATTAGTCCAGTGAGGGTCATGTATTCCTGCCTGGGAACCCAGCTGTTCACAGTGTGGTGTATGCCTTTAATCCCAGCACTCAGGAGGCTGAGGCAGGTGGATCTCCAGTCTACAGAGTGAGTTCTAGCTAGGAACTACACAGAGAAATCCTGTCCTGTCAAACAGAAAACAGGCAAAAATCTGGGACGTATGAGATTTGGGTGTATGTTTTTTTTTATAACTATCCAGTTATCTAACCTAGTCTGATGGTATTAAGGTGCTCATGAAGAACAGGGACTGACCTACACTAACTTGATGTGGTGGGCAGCAAGCTAGGCTGCTGCTCTCAAGGGGCCGAGGGCACTGTAGAACTCAGAGGCCAAGAAAACAGTGTGAGCACTGTAAAGGACCAGAGCCTACAGGAATGTATAACTAGCATTGTGCACACTAAGTGGGCCTAGAGGTAGGGTGGGGTTGTCTCAGAGCATCCGTGGTCCTTACCGGACACCGGGAGAGCACTGTGACCATACCTGTGTCCCATTTGCTTTCCCAGCCTACACGCCATTGAGAGTAGCCAAAGCAAAGGAGTTACAAAAACAAGGCCAGGGAGGATGATCTTACTTGTTATTTCTTGGAAACTCGAGACCCTCTTAGCAGGCTGCTAATGGTTTGCAGAATCTGAGGAAGTATGACTCAGGAGGTATGACAGGAGTATCTAATCTAACACTTTAGACTGAGTTCCTCAAGCCTTGGACATACACTTGTATAGGAGACATTATCCCTCCTCAAGGTATAGAATTTTAAGTATCAAATAATGGTCTGTTCTCGTGGGATCTTACCAGTTTAGGCACAGTACGACTAACATAGTTCTCATATGGGCACCGATACTTCTCACTGTGAATATCCATCTGCCTCAGCAAACCCTGGCAAAGTGATCATAAGATGTGGCCCAACTATGGAAAGCCACAAAGATGAAAGGATGCGGGCTACCACTGCAGCTCTTTTACTCCCAAAGACAGCATCTGGAGGGTCACAATGTGCCAGCTACCTACGGTTTAACTTACGCCAACCCCGTTAACTCAGTTTCTTTGTGTACAGACTACAGGAGCAAGACAGATGGTTTAAAGGGGAGGGGGAATGAAAATCCTGTGTTAAATTTTTCTTAGATACCAAACTTCATAAAGATTTTATTAATGAGTCATTTACCCAGAATGGGTACAAGAGTTAATGGACACGTGGCATCATTTCTAAGGTGGTTCTGGTGTGTGATAGGTGAAAAGTAATTTTCAATAAGAGCTCGTAATAGAAGATCTGGAATTCATTTTCATTTGTAACCTTCTCTAAACACCCTTGTTCTTCTGTTGACTACAGTTGACTTAGATGCCATCTCTGTTGGTAAAGGACAAGGGTACAGAATGGTAAGCAACCAGTTCAAATTTTAAGTTATATTTTGGGCTTATGTTAAATGCAAATTCTAGATTTTGAACATGTCCATATTAGTAATATTTATTTTTAAAACATAACTTAAATTGTACGTGCAATGCCAGAGATACATAGCCTAAGGTGTACAGAGAACATTGACTGCAGTGGGTGGGGATAACACCCTACTGGCTTGAACTGGTGTCTTTAGCTGTGTAAGTTAGGGGATGTGGGCAGGTTATTAATTCTTATGTCTCAGTTTCCCAGTACTTATTGCTGAGGACCACTACAAAGGCTCAGTACTTGCAAGATATAGATACTTTTGCATGAATACTCTGTATACATTCTACTAAGTAAAAAAACGTGTGCTAGGATCACTGTGAGAATTAAGTGAGCTAACACTTAAAACGTTAAACTCCCTAGAGTGGGGCGTGGCCACACTGACTGCATAGTTGTTAGCTGTCACTAAAATTAGAGCAAGTGTACTTAGTGGTGTAGAAGATAAACAAGGCTGGTCCTTTATTCTGAAATGACATTGTACGAGGCTGCTTTAACAAATGTCTGTGCTCCGTGAGCCAGAAACTGCCCAGTATACTCAGGGCACAGGAGAGTATTACCAAAAACAGAAACCTCTTCTCTGGGAGGCTGGTGTCCCATCTGAGAGGAGGGGACACATTGCTGTGCCGGGAAGGTGAGAGCCGGGAAAGAACGCCCAGGAGTTTGTAACCCGACAGCTATGGGGAGGTAACCGTGGAAACTGGACAGTACCTCAGGAAGAGTACTTGAGCAAGCGTGAGTGGGGACAGATGGAGCCATCTCACTGCTGGTGATAAGATGCCGGTAAAGCCGTGGAATGACTTCCTGGTTCCGTAGTTTCCATCCATCACTACTGTGTGTTGAGAGGAGCCAACAGGAAGGGTTCCTCTCAGTCTAGGCAGCTGTGCTGCGGGAGGCTGGGACGCGGCAAGGGGAAGGTGCTCTGAAAATAGCTTTCCTTTGGTGAGCTCACAGGTTTGGGCTCCGTAGGTGGGTGAAGAAAGAAAAGATTGCAGGCTGTTTGACACAGCAAGTGTGAATTACATATTAGACAAACAGCCGAGCTGGCGAGCACATGGTTAAGAGTCCAGGGGGCACACTGGGTAGAGATTCTTAGGGTACTGCTGGCCTTCCCAGTTCAGACAGTGAAGCTTGGCTGGGCCAGTCTAGGGATGTTCTAGTCTTGCCTGGTGACGGTGTTCCTAATCTCTTGTGAGTGGCTAAATTTTACAATATATACTCATCACTAAATTATACCTTTTAGCTTATTATCTTGCCTACGGCCATATAGCCAACCAGCAAGGCCCAGCTCTGAGCCCAGGTAGGCTCCAGACCTACCTGTCCCATAGCATGGCCTGACGCAATTGGCCTCTTTGGTGGACAGACTGCAGCTTGGTAGATCTTACCATGTGTGATGGCTGGATTACTCCATCAAGAGATAATGAGGCGTATTATCTGAGATTCTGGCTAAAAACCTAGATTACTAACAGCTGAGCAGCTCTATTTCTCATGACTGTTACAAAGAAAGCCCTTCCTAGAAACTAATGGTATAGAACAGCATGTGTGGCAGTTGTCATTAAAATAGACACAGTGGCAGTCAAAGAGGAGATAACAAGTTCAGTATATGGAAGAGTAGAGTATATGGAAATGTTATCAGGGGCAAGAGAAATCACATGGAAGGCTTGGCTCCTCCTCGCACACAAAGTGGTTATTGTACAGATGTAAACTTACTTCCCACTTGGGAGCTCACTATAGTAAGCCCAATGTCGTCGTTTTCCCTCAGTGTGTCCTTGTAGAGCATTGCTGTGGAGGTTGCTGTGCTGAGGGTGTTGTATCTATGGCAGCCTCTCTTCCCTGCTTCCCATGGGACTATCATCTACCTCCTTTCCAGACTTACTTAGTTCCAGGTCCTAGCACAGAAGAATTAGGAAGCAGACCTCTCAGACTTACTCAAAAGATGGGAGAACCCAAGGGAAGCTTTAAAGAATTGTTCAAGACTTGTAATGCTTAGTGTCTGGATTCATGCCTTCATTAGCTCCTTTTCATCCAGGACTGCAGGGGGGCAGTAAGGAGTTAGGACTGTCAGTCTCAAGCAGGGTGGGGCCAGGGAAGCCATCTGTCATCTCCTCTGTGGTTTAGTTGGGGGTTAGAGTGGAAACTTAAGCTGTCTTTTGCTGTGACTTATTTAGTTTCCTATTCCAGACGAAAAATAGAGGCATTAACATGATTTTTTTGTTTTTTGTTTTTTTAATTTAGCCCAGAAGTGATAGTGACTTTTTGAAAAATTCATTACTGGAATCTGATAGTGCTTTTATTGGTGAGTGTATTTAATAGTGCTATGTTCATTTTTAAACTATATATATGCATACACATATAGTCTAATATATATAACATATATGTCTATTTTACATCTTTAAGGCAGGATTTCACTCTGTAGCCCATGCTTGACTGGAACTTGCTGTGGCCCAGGGTGACCTCAAACTTTGACCCCCTGCCTCTTGAGTATTGAGATTGTAGGTTTGTCCACAAAATGCTGAGTAGACACCCTTAACAGTTGCCAATAATTCCTAGTCTCTGTTCCAAAAGAGTCATGTCCACACAGAGATGTTCGTGAATATTCATCACGTGGTAGCATTCAAGTGCCCTGAGGTAGCCATACTCACCAACTGACAAGTGCAGAGCCAGATGCGATGGACCCACACCCTGAAGCGTGACTCAGCAGTGAAATGACACACACACCTCAGACACATGCCATTTGAGAGACACAACAGGCTGTGTTGTAGAAATCCGTTCATGTGGAACGTTAGGGCTTGGGGAGTGGGGCATAAGGGAGCTAGCTATCTGGTGGAAATTCTAGATAGTAATGATACAACCTTGAGTTCACTAAAGAAATCACTACACTTGTATAGTGAGTGATCTCCATAAAGCAGTTAAGGAAAAAGACGTCAGACTCTGAATAAAATCCAAGATTTCTTTGTGTAGGTGCTTATGGTGAGACGTACCCTGCCATTGAAGAGGATTCCTTCCCCCCAGCATCACAGCTACCCTCTGCAAGGGAACGCAGGAGGAACAAATTGAAAGGACTCGATTTTGTATGTATGGTCTCCCTCCCACATCTCAGCTTAGATGATTCAAAGTTTGCTCCAGTTTAAAACACAAACAGGGAGGGGCTTCTTTGAAAGTCAGGTGGGTGTGGTCTGAATCTGCTGTCAGTTATCTTGGTGACTTTGTAGCTATTAGGATGGCAGTGCTCTGTCATAGATACCCTTTCCTATAAATGTTAAACTTACTGCCTCAATTTTTATCTTATTCCCTATATAATGTATGGGCTTTAGTGAAGCCATACAAAGCCTGTTAGCGTCGTAATATGGTGGCAGCTCCGTTTGGTCAAGTGAGTTTCCCAAGGTCAGTAGGTAAGAGGACTGAGATTGAAGCCCGTGTTCTTTTCCATAGCTTTACAGTGTAGTCAATAACAAGGCTTGGGAGGCTTCAGCAAACCACGTTCTCATGGTGCCCTTCCTCTCTGGGGTAGGATAGCTTCTTAAGCTCTTTTTTTATTCCCATTTATGTGACCTACAAGTACTCAGCTTAATCCTAGCACAATCACATGACCAGCCTCATCAGGCTGCAAAATTCTTTGGTCTGTGTTGTCTTTCTGCAGATTTCATATAAGTGACTACCTTCTTGTCCTTTGTCAATGGCCATCTTACAGTATGTGTCAATACTGGATTCCTTGTTATTATATATAGACAATACAGTTTGCTTATTAGTGTCAATTTTTGCTGTCATGACTAAGAGTAATGTTAGCACTCATGTACAAGATTCATGTGGATTTTTGTTTTACTTGTTTCTCTTAAGTAACTAACAGAATTACTGGATTATTTGGTCATTGTAAGAATTTAACATTTTGAAGGATTTTTGATTGTTTTCCAAAATATGTTCACCATTTTATACCATTTTCAGACACTTTTCATTTATAGTAGCCAATGAATTTCCTACTTCTCCATGCCCAGTAGTGGTTATCATCCACCAATTTACTTACAGATAAAATGTCCATTATGTCATGGAATATCTCTTGTTCTTTCTAGATAGTTGTGGATATGTCAATTCAAGCCCTTTGTCCATTTTTAAATTGTGTGTATTTTCATTAGTGAAATGTAAGACTTCTTTATATATTATCAGATGTTACATTTGCAAATGTTTCCCATTAAAAAGCTTATCCCTTTTTATCTTGGTAGGTTTTGGAGCATGGATGCTTTAACTTTTAATGAGCTCTGAATTACCAGTTTCCTTTTATTATTTGGAGTTTTGAGGGCCTCAGATAAGAAATTAGTTTAACATAAAACCATGAAGACTTACTATGTTAGTATAGTATGAGATATACAATCTGAGTTCCTTTTTTAGCATGCAGACAATTGTTTCTGTCGCACCTGTCATTGAAAAGACTGTTTTCTCTCTCTCTTGCACTGTGGATTACTTTTCAGGACTAATTTCTTCCATTGCTTGGTCTGTCTGTCCTGCCAGTGACACTATCTTGAGCACTACGCCTCAGCTCAGTCTGTGCTTCCCTGAACCCCACCCTGCCTGCCAGCATTTGTCTTCATGGTTACTGGTACTTGCAAAGACAGAAGACAGAACCCACAGGCTCCTGTTCTGCTCTTCGCCATGTGTACTGGTCCATGGTAAAGCTATGCTGACTGTTAGTGTTTCTAAATTCTCTCTCAACTATAGGATAATAGTCGGCTCCACATGCCTCCAGATGGTCTCTCTTTAAAATCTGTCTCCAGTGTAAATGTCAATCAACTTAGAACAAGAAATGAAGACAGACTGAGGAGACTGAACGAGCATCAGAAGAAACCCACTAACACAGGTACCGTGCACATGTTCACTGGCTGGTGCACATCTGGAGGGGTTGAGAAGTTTGAAGTCCTTTGAGTTTTATGGTCAAGGACATAACTAACCTGCAAATCCAGGGTAGGGTTAACCCTGTTCATACTGAAAGGTGCCCTTTAAGAGCACATCTTGAGCAGTTTCAGTAGAGTCATGATTTTAGGTCTGTTGTATTAGAAGAAAAAAAAAAAAATTCTACTTGGCTTCATGGACCACGGGGGTGGGGGGGCAGCTTTCAGTTAATATTCTAAGCCAACAAACCCATCTTATGATGAGTGGTCTTGGATGAAACTTCATGAAGCACAGGGTAGCTTCACACCTCTCCTGCTAGCCTGTGCCACAATACACCCTTTAAAAACAAAATCAGGCTGTTTGGTCTAGTGTTGTTTTAGTAGAGTGGCCTGTTAAATTACATTGCAGTATTTTTGTTCTTAAATCTCTCTGGTCTCAGGAGTGATGTGTTCTGATGGTCAATCACTCTCCACCAAGTGAGCAAACATGGGATAGTGGAGAGGGAGTCTTCCTGGGCATTTCCCTCTAGTTTGTGTATGTTTTGTTTGAGAACCAGTAGACTTGGAACTAATACTTTAGGAGGATATACAAAAACTTACAGATTCTTTCAGGTTTTCAATGTCTAAACTTTGTTTTAACGCTGTCCTTTCAAACAGGAGCTTTTTGGTACGATGTGGACTGATTGATTGCTCACTAACTGCTTGCACACCCTTTGCTGAGCTAACCCAGACCAGGAGATGTCATTTTTTTTTTTAGAAAAAGAAATTTTGACATCACAGGGTAGGAAGACAGATTTTTCCTCTTTTATATTTATTAAGTCAATTATAGATATAGAACTTTAGTAACATCAACTGTGGTTAATGAACAAGTCCCCTCTTAATGCAGGTGTAACTAATCTCCTCAGAATGACTGTATCAGTGCTGTAGGCTGGGCAAGCCTCCCCAAACTCTCCAAATTAAAGTCTTGTGTCACGGCCATTGTTTTTCCTAATAGTCTATATTTCTGTAGTCGACTTCTAATGTCTGGTAGAGTCTCCTTTAGCTGCCAGTACCATGAAGTCAGTTTATTTCTCTCCCACCCCCAACATAGCCCCTTTTTCTTGGCACAATCTCCTACTCCCAGAGATGGGGGAAGGGCTGTGATTTTGTAAAGAGATCCAGCGCTGTAATGGGCTGGACTGTAGGTACCCTGTGTATGTCACCTGCCACCCAACTTGTCTCTTTTGCCTCCTGTAGATGACGAGAGTTCTCTGGTTGACCCTGATGACATCATGAAACACTTGGGTGAGGATGGATCCAACTCTGTGGCAACTGAGCCCTGGCTCCGCCCAGGCACCTCTGAAACGCTCAAACAGTTCATGGCAGAGCAGCTGAATGAGGAGCATCAAGTTCCCAGAAAACCAGGCACTTCCACTTGGCAGGGCCTGTCTGCTGCACACGCTTAATTTACAATAAACCCTTTGGACCAGCAGTGCCTTTTACAGTGGAAGGAATGTTCAGTCCATATCTTGAATGTCTTGCTTATGGCCCTACCTAAATAGTAGTTATTTATGTTCTATCTATATATAAAGCATAGTTTTCCTATGATGATACATGTTATGTTATATATATGTATATATATATAATGTACATAAAATCCCTGATTATTGATTTATAACAATTGTATAGAATTATTTTTGCAATTTTGCTATGGGTGGTGATGAGCTCTAGATTCAACTGCCACATGTGCATTAAATTGTGCTTGCCATTAAGAGGTGGTAATGAAGGTGTTAACAGTACTGTGAAACAATACATTTTTACTAGCGTTCTAGCGTTCGTTGCCACTGTTAGCTTTGTGTGGAAACACTTCATAGTGAATACACCTGCTGTGGCTGTGACTATCCCAGCTGCTATGTAAATGAGATTCAGAAGAAGCTGCTCCGTCCATGCCATTTGGACTAGAGATTCCATAGGAGCTGTGACTGAATGTTCCATCTTTCTGCCTCCATTTTATTTTTGTGTTGATAAAAGCACAGACTCACGCAGTTACTAATTTATCTGATTTCACTATTTCTTGATACAAATAAAGTTTTATTTTTATTAACTACCAATGTCAGTTTCTTCACTTGTAGAGCTGAGGGTTCTAGAGGGTAAAGCTTCCACCCACAGTGGCCCTGTCCCACTGCCTCAGACCCTTGGCTAATCAATCAGTAAATGATACTTCAGAAAAAGACTCATTCAACTTCTACAAAGTAATTCTTACCTGGATTAGGGCCGTCAGTACATCCCACGATGACAGCGAAGACAACCTAACATAGCTGCTTTGGTATTTCCAGGGACACAACAATGGCACATAAGAGTTTACCGAAAGTAAGAAATTTCTGGTTTTGTTTTGGGCTACATGCAATTTTTATGTTCACTTTTACTCTACTAATAAATTTTCTTCTGCCAGTAAGAGGACTGTGTAAAAGTTAAAAGGACTCTTTGGGGAGTGCATACTACAGCACTGAACAACCAACTGCCAATAATGGTAGGAAATGGCGTAGGTAAGAGGACATCAAAGTGGCTTTTAGTTACAACGTTCAGCCTGGTTTGATCAGAGCTAGTCTAAAGACACATGGAAGCAAACAAAAGACTTATTAACACATTCCTCTCTCAAAATACATCACATAACGAACTGACTCATTTACAAAATGCCACCCTAAAGGCAGGGGAGCATTTCCCAGTCTCAGAATAAGTAGTAGCTTTATCACGGAGTATAAAATACACTTTTGGATATCCATTAGGAAATTGAAGGACCTAATTCATAGACTTCAAAGAAGTATATTTATAGCTAAAAAAAAAAAATCAATGAAAACAGGGCTGTAGGTTACACAGTTTTAACTGCACTGATGAAATAATTCAAAAACTTTATTGACCTATAACCTGATTAGATATGCCAGATGAGAATCAATATTGTACAGAAAGTTGTACAGAATTTTTACATAGAAAACTTTACATCTGTACCATATACATTTTATCCATCTGAAAAAATTTTCTACATCCACTGTTAATATGGAATGCTTGACAAGCTTTGCATTTTAACCATCAGAGCACAATTCACAGTATGAATACATTTCCAGTAAATCTAACCACCCCAAACCATGCCAGATTTGTTATTTTAATATATTCAACATTAAATTCTGTACATAGAATAAAATCTACATCAAGCCCCGCCACCCAAAAGAAAAAGTGACAGCAACCTAGATTCATCTGCAGTGATTCAAGTTTCACTCTGTGAAAGGTCATCTACTTTATGGCTCATCTTTAAAGCCCTAGGAGTATGTCACAGGTAGTTCTTGTCAGCATGGATGTGTTCTACCTTGGTGGTTCCCTCCTGTTGTGATCTTGACAAGCACTGGTCACAACAGGTTCATATAAGCCTTCAACATGACCATCCCCCCAAAAGACAAAAGTTCAACCCAAATGTTTTAGTGCATTTGACAAAATATTATGGGTATTCAGCAAGTAGATAAGAAAATAAAGAAATAAGACAGTGCAGGAGGAACAATATGTTTAAGGTTCTTATATTACAGCCCTCCATCTCTGTACATTTTCACAGAAAGATGATGATTCCCAGTATCTCAGATAGCCTGAGTGTGCAAAAATCTTCAGAGTAAGAATACCATAGTTGCTAAATATCTTTTACCATGAGCAATAATTTTCTCCCTTCCCCCCAATTATAAACATTTTATCCTTCAAAATACAGCTCTCCTGAGTTGTTCTTCTTTCGGAAGTCCCATCTTTATATCTATACTTCTTTGGGTAAGTTTCATTTCCGTACCTGCCAAAAGTGTGGGGCTCACCCTGCTCAGAGGACAGGGAAGGACCCACGAGGGTTAGCTGACACTGTCTGAACAGGCTTTCTGCTCAACATGAGCCCAACATGACAGAGAAGCCACCAGACTACTTATTACAGGGACCACATGGAGTGTTGGACTGAGTTATAGCTTTAAGCATCGTTACCAGTAATTCTCCGACACTGCAATTCAGAGAAACAATTTTCCAGGTAGGAAACCTCTGCTCCAGGGTCCTGTTATAGAGCAGAGGAATGTAAACACCAACAGAAAATTCAGTTCTCATCACTGCTTGTTTATTCCAAGTTCCTGTTCAGGTGGTTGTGATATCTGAAAAACTATTCCAATTCGTAGGAAAAATCTTCTAAGAACAGCACGAAGTTCAGGAATCAAGTCAAATTGCATAATTTCACATAAGAGAGGGTAGTAGAATGATGCATGAGCTTTAAACTGGGGGGGGGGAGATAAATGTCATTAGTACTGCTTGTTCCACAAACCACAGGAGCTAAGCGGTCTTAAAAGCTAGAGGAGAGAAGCAAGTCTGCCAAGCGCTAAGGACACGGATTATACAACTGAGAGCCCAAGAGGAGTTACAACAAAAGCTGGCACAGACCCGGGCCCCTTGGTTCTTCACTGTTTTTTAAAAACACTGTCTATTCGTACCTGACAAAATTTATAAATAAACATGCATTTCCTGCATATTGGACAGAAAGAAGCAGGCCAGGGAGGGAAACTGAGTTTTTATTATATATGAGTTAAGTTGCATCTTTAAATTCAAGTTTTAAGGGAAGATTCTACCTAGCACTGTGAATCTTGGTTGCCAACCTTACCACATCTGGAACCAACTAAAACTCAATCCATGAGGCATTTCAAAATGGCCAGATTATTTGAGGTGGATGGGCCACATCTGGTGACAGCCCACATGCCTTTCTGTAGATAGAGAGCCACTACTGGACCATCCACAACCTATAAGCCATTCTAATAATCACCCCTCCCTCTCCCCCCTCACCCCCCTCTCTCTCCCCTCCCTCCCCCTCTCATTTCTCTAGATAACCCTGACTTCTACCAACTGCAACAAGACATCCCACTTTTACAGTTCCAATACTTGAACTAGTTTTTGCTTTAATTCCTTCCTCTCTGAACTCAGGTTTGCTCTTTTCTCTTCTTCATGCTCTCCCACACTGCACCAGATACAGAGAAGCAGTCCTGTAAGCTCCCTGTGGCCAGAAAGCAGACACACACTCCAGGCCTCATGTGGCCCAGGGACCCTGAGCGGCCCTGCTGCCCCACAGGCTCTCATATGCTAGTTTAAAGTGTCAACTATCAGGTCACTCACAGCATTTGAAAGTTAGGGCTCATAGCAACAAATTTCCTAATGTGTAAGTTGCTTTAAAAAAACTGAACTGCACAATTTTGAAGTTGCAATAAAATATATTTGCTTATGTAAATGTATGCATCTACACATTTGAATTTGATAAGTTTTAATTTTACTGGCCTAAATTATTCACTCTGGTCACCTGGAGCTACTAAATATCCCAAAGGCCGGATGCAGCCTGGAACACAGGCTCAGGGCAGGGCCACACTGTAGGCTGGAGGAGTTCTAGGACCTCCAGTGGTCACACTGAGGGTTTCAGTGTTGAGGTGCGTGTCAGTATCTGATGGGATTCTAATTCCTCCTCTCAATGCACTCATTTAAGTCTGCACAGCTTGGTTTGCTGTAGCATAGCCTAGGCCCCTGCGTGGCTCTACCTCAACTGTAGGGACAGGGAGGGACAGGAAGCCTCATACTTACCCTGTTATCACTGATCTTCAGAACTTTAGTCAGGAACAACAAAAGTAAGTTAGTCCAGGCTTCGCGGTGACTTTCGGACGTGAGCGTGAGGAAGTAACTCAGCGCTTCACTGCAGACGCTGCAAAAGAGAGGGCTAGCTTTCACATACCGAGGGCTACCCTACCAGCCTGCATTCACAGACAACTGAAGGCAAAAGACGGTGGTGAATGTTAACTGCCGCTGAACTGGCTAGTTTCTATTTGTTTTCATTAACTGGAGCACCGAGACACGTTTTCCAGATTAGGAAGAAGGGAAGCACTAGAGCCCCCTGGGAACCACCCCTTCTCCATTTCCTCCCCGTTAGAGTGTCCGAGGGATGGATAGATAGTGGGTGTGCAGGCCGCTGGCAGGAACTGGAGGCTTTTCCCTCACTGACTATGAGGCTCAGCCTGTCCTGCACCTGACTAGGTCTGTCCATAAAACCGGAGACTGGAATAATGATTTTTGAGATGCGTTGAACCATTCCTCTCGGGACAGGAATGGGCCATGCATGAGCAGTCTTTCTTCTAAATAACTGCCAGTCTGCGAAGCTACATTTACTTATCACGGAGTAAAACAGAATGAAACAAATTCAACTAGTCAAACTCCAGCAAGGTGGTAATGGTGCACACCTTTAATCCCAGCACTCAGGAGGCAGAGGCAGGAGGATCTCTGTTAGTTCAAGGCCAGCATGGTTCTACATAGTGAGTTCCAGAACAGCTAGAGCTACACAAAGAAACCCTGTCTCAAACCTAGAAGTAATAATAACAAAACTCCAAATACTTTTTTGATAAAAAAAAAAAAAAAAATGCAGGAGGACAAGGCAGCCTGCCACATTCACAAGTGCTTTCTTAAGTTTTTTTGTATTTAATGTTATTTTATGTGCTTTGGTGTTTTGCCATAGGTGTCCTTCTGGAACCAGAGTTCCAGACAGCACAACTGCTTTCTAAGAAAGGCCTATCTTATGGCATTGGAAGGACTATCATCACATTTCTGAGCGGGGAGGATGCCCCTTGTCCTGTACGTCAGACGTGACCTGCTCAGATGCTGCCAGCTGGGCTCAGGAAGCAACAGGAGCTCACAGACAGCCTGTGTAGCACAGGGATGCCACGTATGCTGCGGGGAAAGGCACTGAGTGGCCTGGAAGGTGGCTTAGTTTTCACACTGATCTGGGTAGTGGGGCTTCCAGATTCTAAAGGTTCAGCAGCTACCTGCTTGCTGTCACTACTGTCCCTTTCACAGTGCACATAGCTACCAGCCACCAGCCTTACTTCAGAAGCCTCTGCTGGACCTCTTCCCAGGCACTGACTCTGCTCTCGTCCATGTACATCCTGAAGAGAATGCGCAGCCCACAGGCCAGGCTGCTCGTCTCCTGTTTTAGAAGATTGGGCTTGGACTTGCCTTTGAAGCCTGTAGAAGGGGAAGTTTCTGGAGTTAGACTGGGAAGGCATCTTATAACAAGGTC